GACATCAAATAAAATAAAAACTTTTGGTCACATACACGTGTTTAGCAGATGTTATTGTGGGTGTAGCGAAATGCTTGTGCTTCTAGCTCCGACAGTGCAGTAATATCTAACAAGTAATATCTAACAATTTCACAACAGATACCCACTACACACAAATCTTTTTCTTTATTTTTTATATTTCCTACATTGTAAAATAAAAGTGAAGACATCAAAACTATGAAATAACACATGTAGTGACCAAAAAAGTGTTAAACAAATCAACATATATTTTATATTTGAGATTCTTCAAATAGCCACCCTTTAGCCTTGATGACAGCTTTGCAAACGTTTGGCATTCTTTCAACCAGCTTCATGAGGTAGTCACCTGGAATGCATTTCAACAGGTGTGCCTTGTTAAAAGTTAATTTGTGGAATTATTTCCTTAATGCATTTGAGCCAATCAGTTGTGTTGTGACAAGGTAGGGGGGATATACAGAAGATAGCCCTATTTGATTAAAGACCAAGTCCATATTATGGCAAGAACAGCTCAAATAAGCAAAGAGAAACGACAGTCCATCATTGCTTTAAGACATGAAGGTCAGTCAATACGGAACATTTCAAGAACATTGAAAGTTTCTTCAAGCACAGTCGCAAAAACCATCAAGCGCTATGATGAAACTGGCTCTCATGAGGACCACCACAGGAATGGAAGCCTCAGAAATGGCATCCCAAATAAATGCTTCACACAGTTCAAGTAACAGACACATCTCAACATCAACTGTTCAGAGGGGAATGTGTGAATCAGGCCTTCATGGTCGAATTGCTGCAAAGAAACCACTACTAAAGGACACCAATAAGAAGAAGAGACCTGCTTGGGCCAAGAAACACGAGCAATGGACATTAGACCGGTGGAAATTTGTCCTTTGGTGTGGAGTCCAAATTGGAGATTTTTGGTTCCAACCGCCATGTCTTTGTGAGACGCGGTGTGGGTGAACGGATGATCTCCGCATGTGTAATTCCCACCATAAAGCATGGAGGAGGAGGTGTTATGGTGTGGGGGTGCTTTGCTGGTGACACTGTCTGTGATTTATTTAGAATTCAAGGCACACTTAACCAGCATGGCTACCACAGCATTCTGGAGCGATACGCCATCACATCTGGTTTGGGTTTAGTGGGACTATCATTTGTTTTTCAACAGGAAAATGACCCAACACACCTCCAGGCTGTGTAAGGGCTATTTGAACATGAAGGAGAGTGATGGAGTGCTGCATCAGATGACCTGGCCTCCACAATCCCCCGACCTTAACCCAATTGAGATGGTTTGGGACGGCAGAGTGAAGAAAAAGCAGCCAAAAAGTGCTCAGCATATGTGGGAACTCCTTCAAGACTGTTGGAAAAGCATTTCAGGTGAAGCTGGTTGAGAGAATGCCAAGAGTGTGCAAAGCTGTCATCAAGGCAAAGGGTGGCTATTTGAAGAATCTCAAATATAAAATATATTTTGATTTGTTTAATACTTTTTTGGTTACTACATGATTCCATATGTGTTATTTCATAGTGTTGATGTCTTCAGTATTATTCTACAGAAAAACCCTTGATTGAGTAGGTGTGTCCAAACTTTTGACTGGTACTGTACATATATGGACGAGCGATGGCAGAGTGGCATGGACTAAGATACAGTAGAATAGTATAGAATACAGTATATACATATGAGATGAGTAATGCAAGATATGTAAACATTATTAAAGTAGCTAGTGTTCCATTTCTTAAAGTGGCCAGTGATTTCTAGTCTATGTCTATAGGCAGCAGCCTCTAATGTGCTAGTGATGGCTGTTTAATAGTCTGATGGCCTTGAGATATAATCTGTTTTTCAGTCTCTTGGTCCCAGCTTTGATGCACCTGTACTGACCTCGCCTTCTGGATGATAGCGGGGTGAACAGGCAGTGCCTCGGGTGGTTGACGTCCTGGATGATCTTTTTGGCCTTCCTATGACATCGGGTGCTGTAGGTGTCCTGGAGGGCGGGTAGTTTGCCCCCGGTAATGCGTTGTGCAGACCGCACCACCCTCTGGAGAGCCTTGCAGTTGCGGGTGGTGCAGTTGCCGTACCAGGCGGTGATACAGCCCAATTCTAATGCCTAGGGGTATTATTTTTATGTAAACAAAATGTTCCAACCAAGACAACAGAAGTGGAGGGTTGACCCGACGACAAAGAGGATTCTATATCTCTCTATATTTTGGTCATTGCAGATAATGTTTTGATGTGATTTTTTAAATGAGTGTGCTTGAGTGTATGTTCTTGCTTGAATTAATGCCTGTGTGTGTGTGTGTGTGTGTGTGTGTGTGTGTGTGTGTGTAAGTGTGTGTGTGTGTGTGTGTGTTCTTTTGGTTTTACTATCCTTGTGGAGACCAGAAGTCCTCACAAGGATAGTAAAACAAGGAAAAGTGGGAACATTTCGCTGGTCCCCACAAGGAAAAATGCTATTTTAGGCTTAGGTTTAGGGTTACAATTAGGGTTAGGGGTTAAGGTTAGGGGTTAGGGTTAGGAGTTAGGGTTAGGGGTAGGGGTTAAGGTTAGGAGTTAGGGTTAGGGTTAGGAGTTAGGTTTAGGGTTAGGGGTTAGGGGTTAGGTTAGGGTTAGGGTTGAGGTTAGGGGTTAGGGTTAGTGTGTGATGATCCACTCAGTGCCTTGCTATTCCCGTGAGAATCCTGATTACAATCTGTATTCATCAGTGATGATGTAAAAATATTTTCCCACGAGGCACACTCGTCCTACACTTTCAGCATACAGATGCATGCACAGATGCGCGAACACACACACATACAGACGTGCACAAACAAACACACACACACACAAATAAATGCATGCACACACGCATGCGCATGGACACACACACGCATTTAGCCTATGACACGCATGCGCATGCACACACACACAAACACACACATACATACACAAAAACACACACACACAAACACAATTCTTGCTGCACACTCACTCCCAGTTGTATAGTAATTCCCACGGGGAGGGCAGTATAAAAAAAAAAAATGTATTCACTAACTGTAAGTCGCTCTGGATAAGAGCGTCTGCTAAATGACTAAAATGTAAATGTAAATGTAAATAATGTAAAACCAGTGGTGTAAAGTACTTAAGTAAAAAACTTTAAAGTACTATTAAGTAGTTTTTTGGGGTATCTGTACTTTACTTTACTATTTATATTTTTGGCAACTTTTACTTCACTACATTCCTAAAGAAAATAATGTACTTTTTACTCCATACATTTTCCCTGACACCCAAAAGTACTCGTTACATTTTGACAGGAAAATGGTTGAATTCACACACTTATCAAGAGAACATCCCTGGTCATCCCTACTGCCTCTGATCTGGCAGACTCACTAAACACAAATGCTTTGTTTGTAAATTATGTCTGAGTGTTGGAGTGTGCCCCTGGCTATCCTTCAATAAAAAAAATAAAAAAAAATTGTGCCGTCTGGTTTGCTTAATATAATGAATTTGAAATGATTTATACTTTTACTTTTAATACTTAAGTATATTTAAAACCAAATACTTTTAGACTTTTACTCAAGTAGTATTTTACTGGGTGACTTTCACTTTTACTTGAGTAATTTTCTATTAAGGTATCTTTACTTTTACTCAAGTATGAAAATGGTGTACCTTTTCAACCGCTGTGTAAAACTAATAATGATACTGTGTAGAAATTGCACATAGAAGAGATTTGATGTCAGTCACTTGGAATGATGGTGGCGCAAATTCCTGTTAACTGGCCCTTTCAGCAGGAAAAAGAGAAATTATGCCAACCTCTGTTAAACCTCATTGAAGAAGAAGGAAAAAGAGAAAGGATGCCAACCACTGTTAAACCTCATCGAAGAAGAAGGAAAGAGAAAGGATGCCAACCACTGTTAAACCTCATCGAAGAAGAAGGAAAGAGAAAGGATGCCAACCACTGTTAAACCTCATCGAAGAAGAAGGAAAGAGAAAGGATGCCAACCACTGTTAAACCTCATCGAAGAAGAAGGAAAGAGAAAGGATGCCAACCACTGTTAAACCTCATCGAAGAAGAAGGAAAGAGAAAGGATGCCAACCACTGTTAAACCTCATCGAAGAAGAAGGAAAGAGAAAGGATGCCAACCACTGTTAAACCTCATCGAAGAAGAAAAAGAGTAAACAGCTTTTCAAGGGCTTTTGCGCGTGCGTAGCAACATTGTGGGCGTCGAGGCGATACTGGAGCACAGAGCGCATTCGTGAAGGAAAATAGGTAAATAAAGTTCCATTCTTTACCATTTTCATTTGACAAATAAATGCCTTGAATATTTCGTGTATTCTTGAAGCGGCTCGCTGAAATGTTTCCTCATTGGAATGATAGGAGTTGCTTGTTACGATGTAGCAAAACATCCGCTTGTCAGCGCGCTAACCGTTAGCAAGACAAGCTTCAATCTCAGATGTTGTCCATCACACATAAAGGCAGCTATAATAATAATATCGCCAAAGATTACATAATGTATTTGATATAGCAGTCAATATAGCCTATGTCGTTTTTTTTTGAACAACTCACGTCCTGTGCGGCTTTCCAAGAGACGGTCAGAGCTGGAGCGTGCGGCGCTTTGTTTGTTAAATTAGTGATTTGTGCTGGTCTTTTAGGCTATTTCGGTGATGGCAGTAACATTCCTGTCACCCTGGTTAGCGTTGGGTCATTCATTTTTAGCCACGGATGTCTGAAATTCATAGCACACTGTTTGTGACGACCATTTCCGTTGGGCGCCTGTCAGGACAGGAGTTCAACGGAATAATAGAGTTAATTTTGATGCTCTATGGGAAAAGTGGCCTAAACACCAAGCTGTGGAAATTATGGCCTACTTTGTAGTTTAGATATGTATAATTCTGTAATTATCTGAACCACTTGACTAGGCTGTTGACCCGGTTCTGCTCATTGAAGTTGAATACTGGTAATTGACTGTTTTTCTATCAACAGACACTGTCACCCACCCCAAACAATCCAGAAGGAATCATGGGGAGTGGTAAGTGGCTATCTCTAGGCCTACACATGTACGTTAATGTAAATCTATCTGATCTACCTGCAGGGCAGGGCCTTGTTCAAACTCCATAACATGGTTTGCCCAGGAAAATACAAATGTTAGCAGACTCTCCCTTAAGTGAGTCTAATCAGACATTCCTGGGGCGTTTAAACACTATGGTTCCTGTCCACAGCCTCTGGTCTGATCCCAGATCAGCTAAACAGAGGGCTGCTCTGTCCCCCTGTCTTGATTCCCAGAGCTAGTTTCACTTATGCTGGCCATGGTTGGCTCTCTTAATCAAATAAGCTTTTGTTTTATACAGAAATCTAGTTAGTAGGCATTTCCCTCTTTTTCTACCGGCTTTGTATCAACCTCTGCCTCTTTATCTCTCTGCATCTCGTTTTCCCTCCGTCTGTCTGCCTCTCTGGTCTGTCTTTCTTTTTCTCCCCTTTCTTCTCTTCTCTCTCCCTTCATCTCTTCTCTTTCCCTTCATCTCTTCTCTTTCCCTTCCATCCCTTCTCTCTCCCTTCATCTCTTTCTCTCCCTTCATCTCTTCTCTCTCCCTCCCTTCATCTCTTCTCTCTCCCTCCCTTCTTCTCTTTCTCTCCCTTCATCTCTTCTCTCTCCCTCCCTTCATCTCTTCTCTCTCCCCCTTCATCTCTTCTCTCTCCCTCCCTTCATCTCTTCTCTCCCCTCCTCTCCTCGCTTCATCATCTCTTCTCTCCCCTCCGCTTCTCTTCCTTCTCTCTCCCTCCCTTCATCTCTTCTCTCTCTCTCCCTTCATCTCTTCTCTTTCTCTCCCTTCATCTCTTCTCTCTCCCTCCCTTCATCTCTTCTCTCTCCCTCCCTTCATCTCTTCTCTCTCTCTCCCTTCATCTCTTCTCTCTCCCCCTTCATCTGCTGTCTCTCACTCTTCTGCTCTCTCTCCCTTCATCTCTTCTCTCTCCTCCCTTCATCCTCCTTCCCTCTCTCCCTCCCTTCATCTCTTCTCTCTCTCCTCCCTCCCTCATCTCTTCTCGCTCTTCTCCCTCATCCTCTCTCATCTCTTTCCCCCTCCCTCTGCTTCTCATCCCCTCCCTTCATCTTCTCTCTCCCCCCTTCCTCTCGTCTCTCCCCTCTCTCTCTCCCTCCCTTCATCCTTCCTCTCTCCTCTCCTCTCCTTCATCTCTTCCTCGTGCCCTCCCGTTCATCTCTTCTCCCTCACTCTCTCATCGTCTCCTCTCTCTCCCTCCCTTCATCTCTTCTCTCTCTCTCCCTTCATCTCTTCTCTCTCCCTCCCTTCATCTCTTCTCTCTCCCTCCCTTCATCTCTTCTCTTCTCTCTCCCCGTATTTTCCCACCACATCTCTCTCTTGTTTTCTCCCTCCCTACACATCTCTCTCTGACAGTGTTCCTGCCGTCGGACCTCGCCAACACAGTGCTGAGGCGTCTGCGCAGGGACAACGGCTACCTGCTAGAGGAGATCCAGCAGGGCAACATCCAGAGAGAGTGCAGGGAGGAGATCTGCACCTACGAGGAGGCCAGGGAGGCCTTTGAGAACGATGAGAAAACTGTGAGTGAGACACACGCAACCAGGGTCGGGGTCAATTCCATTTCAATTCAGTCTATTAAGGACGTAAACTGAAATTGTAAATTGTTCTCATATGCTAAGCATTAAGGACAATTTCAATGTTTGACTTCCTTGTTTGTTTACTTCCTAGATTGAAATGGAATTGACCCCAACCCTGTATGCAACACACAATGCTCTTTGTTTTTCTCTTGCTCCCTCATTGACACACACACACACACATTCACTCTAACAAAAACACTTGTAGTCCTACTCCAGTGTGCTGGCCTGTGGAATGTTCCTGTTTTTCAGGAAGGGATGATAATCAGCAGGAAGAGCAGCTGACTCCCTGAGAGAGAGCTGCTCAGCAGGGAGAGGATCATTACTGTAACTTGTCAGGGGTGGGAAGGCACAGTCAGTCACGCAGAGCGATGTAATGCAGCACGCACATGTGGACAGCTGTGTGTGTATGCGTGTGTGCTTTCTGGAGCGTGACATTCAGAATGTTCCAGGTGGAAATGGAATTTCTAGAACGCACATTCCATATTACAGTGAAATCTTTGATTATTTGTTATGTTCACGTTAATTTCTTTGTTATATTCTGTAACATATAACTCAATGCCCATGAGTTTATACTAAGCGGATAATTCTGACGGTGTATCTCTCTGATTGGCCGCAGCAACGGTTCTGGGAGGAGTATGTGCGGGAGAGCAGTGGCGGGCTCCAGTTGGAGGGTGGAGTCCACTCCCTCTACCTGATCCTCCCCTTGCTCCTGGTGCTCCTCCTGATCTCCGGCGTGGCCATCACCGTGTGGCGCTGCCACTCCCGCAAGCGCTCAGAACGCAGCCCCGCCCTGGGCCGCTCCCACCGGGACCCCACCCTATCGTTGGTCTCCATGGACCAGTGGGGGCGGGACTTCCAACTCCATGACCACTCGGAGCTCAGCGTCAACAGCAGCCGCACCTACCCGGGCTCGGAGGTTACGTCGTCGAGGGGAGGCAGAGGAGACCCGCCGCCGTCTTACGAGGAGGCGGTCGGCCACACGGATGTGCACATAGAGACAGAGCCGCCGCCTCAGTATGAGGACATCATTGGCCATGGGAAGTGAAGTGACCCCCCCCCATGCCCTGTCTCAAACGACCCTCCTCTCTCTCTGGCCCCCATCCAGCTAGATCAGGGGTGTCAAACTCATTCCATGGAGGCCCTAGTGTCTGCTGGTGTTAGTTTTTTCCTTTCAATGAAGCCCTAGACAACCAGGTGAGGGGAGTTACTAACTAATCAATGACCTTAATTCATCAATCAAGTACAAGGGAGGAGCGAAAACCCTCAGTGGAATAAGTTTGACACGTGAGCTAGATCCTCCTGCCCGGTCTCACCCTCCACCTCACCTCCCTTTTAACTGTTACTGTTATGTTACTACACTATACTAACACAGAGGTGTTGGATGGAATAACGTTGAAGCTTGCACTGACCATCTGATAGGGGTGGAGTGATAGTGAAGACGATACCAAATGTTTGATTTTGCTTTTACCCAAATGTAGTTATGTTGTAGCCATACTACCATACATCAGTGATGTTATGACTACCCTGGAGGTTTGGGGCTTGATGAACGGTGCATTGTGGGGTGTAAAGTAAAAAAAAATAAAACGGTTCTGATTTCCATACTTGTAAGAAAGGAGTGAAAAAGAGATATAGTTGTTTTGAATGTTCGGGGAGTGTCGTTTTCGCCATTCGTTTTGGTTAGCCAGGAGTGGCTTTGTACACGTAGACTTGGATCTATCCCAGCGTCGTATGAATTAGTCAAGGACAGTCAATATTCCCTATTGGCTATGTCCCAAATGGTACCCTATTCCCTATATAGTGCACTATTTTTGACTAGAGTCCTAAATACGGCATAGGGTCTCGGAGTGTGATATTATGGGAGCTGTGCTGGCATGGAGCGCAGCATGACCTGCAAGGGAATATGGGACAGGAAGCTACAGACAATTACCCATTTTCCCTCTTGGGGATACATGCAGTATTAAATGTCACTACGCACAGTGTGTTTGTGTGTGTGTATATATGTGTGTGAGAGCGCATATTTCTTTACTGCAGATAACAGCACTGACTACGTTGATGATAATGTTGTGAATAGATGAGGTGTGTGACTGAAGGCACTTTGTGTTGAGGCTCAAACTGAAGCCGTTTGATAATGAATACTAGGGCAGAGTTGGTTTGGTTCTATTCAGCACAACTCTCAGCAATAATGTTATCAGCTATTGATAAACTGTATATTTTACATGCTAACTATGCAGCTGGGGGACTAAATGCAGACATCCTAAGCACTAAATATCTGCCTAATATTCATTATTATTATTATAAGTGATATTGATACATGTAATATGACAATGGCCCTGTACACACTTACAACTGATGTTTCTTGATACAATGTAGAGTTTGGCCGGGGTTCAATCTTATCCGCGTCAAGTGCGCTGACATTTAACAGTAATTCCTGATTGAGCTGACATTGCAACGTTTACTGGTCATGCGATCTCCACGAACGGTGGGAACATTGCTTTTAGAAGGCGCATTGTCGACAGCGCTCTACGGATTGAATTACGGCCTTTGTCTGCACAATAATGTTTACATAGTAAGTGTGTGATTATTTTTGTAGAGATTTTAGCGTTTTAACACAACCATTGTGCCATATGTGTTGTACATCAGTTGTAGAACTTGAGTGTGCACGGGGGCCTGTGTAATCTGTACACTACAGATTGAGAGGACTGATGTATTTTGTTGAACTGTGGAACCGCAACTTGTCCCTATGCTATATGACCTGTGACTGGGATGTGCAGGTTGAGGTAGCCATTTTGGTTGGGTTTATGGCCCTGTCCAGAATTGGCCCTACCCCCTTCAGGGCTCTCCAATCCTGTTCCTGGAGAGCTACCCTCCTGTACATGTTCGCTCTAACCCCAGTTGTAACTAACCTGATTAAACTTGTCAACCAGCTAATTATTAGAATCAGGTGTGCTAGATTAGGGTTGGAGTGAAAACCTACAGGATGGTAGCTCTCCAGGAACAGGGTTGGAGAGCCGTTCCCTAAACACTTGTGGAGATTTGATAGGTTAAAGTAGGGATGGGCAACTTTGATGGGGGTGGGGGCTACAAAATACATCTGAACTCATCATGAGGGGCTGCAGTTGCTCGCCGGTCTGCGTACCCACATCCGTACCGCTACCCCCCACCCACACACCCATTGTGAGCAAAATATTTTTGTGGCCCCCCCTCTTGACAGCAGATAATTTTTTTACGTTTAGTTCATTTCATACAATTCTACTCATTTTGCCATGGGGCGGTGTGGGAAATAAGCTGTTTAACAGCAAATTTCCTGCAATTCTACACATTTTTCCATAGGGTGGAGAGAAATGTTTGCCATTTTTAATTTATCTGATTGAGACTGACTAACAAAATCAATGGGGGCCCCCCGGCTTATAATTTTACCATAATGAAAAGTTTAGATTGCTTGTTTAGCTGACATGGGCTACTTGAATGACTATCAGTGACTTGACATAAGAGAAACTTCTGATGCACAACCACATTTCGAAATTGCACCTTGTGTATTCTACTATTCTAACTCTCAACGGTAAGTTGAGACCCCGACAGTTCCCATTATTATTTGTAAAAAAATATTGATCTGAGGGCCTTCAAAAGGGAGGCCATCAGTTGCCCATCCCAGGGTTAAAGGAATATGGTGATAGCTCCACGTTTCCCCTCTGATAGGCTAGGTGGAATTGTTGCTATAATGCTTACATCTGTCCAATCATTTCAGATCTCCCAAGTGTCTACATGTAGGTGCTAGGAGCTATGGGTTTCTGGACAGGACCTTTTATTGTACTGTTACCTTTTGAAATCCTGTTTTTACAATGCCTTAAGCAAATAAATAAAATTAACATAAATAGATGTTAAACCTTTGGATATGTATTGAGCTTAAATTAATTTGTAATAAAATACTTTCAAATGTGTGGAGCCGTGTTCTGCCAGTGCCTCCAAATGTTTCCAACCCTTTTCTTGTAGTTTTAAAATATAAAAGCATGACATGAGAACCATCTTTATCCATCCTCCTGCAGTCCAAAAACAAGCCTGTGGACATTCTACTCTGCAATTTTAAAAAGCTGTTCAAACAAACTTAACCATATGTAGTGATTCATTAACCATGCCTAAATAGACCTAGCCATTGCACCATATTTTCCATACCAACTGTTTGGTTCTGTTTGGTTCCTAGTGAATACACCCCTGGTGCTAACATGGCTGCATTTACAGGCAGCCCAATTATAATATTTTTCCCACTAATTGGTCTTTGGACCAATCACGTCAGATCTTTTCACATCAGCTCTTTTTCAGAGCTGATCTGATTGGTCAAAATACCAATTAGTGAAAAAAAATCAATTGAGCTGCCTGAGTAAATGCAGCACAACTGGCTGAACAGCTTTAAGTATGTGACCAAACAATCCTGTCGCCCTCCCCTTTCTGGCTCACCAGACTAGATACTGGGTTAGAGAACAGAAGAGCACAGGCTCCAATCTTGCCAATGCACTTTAAAAAAAACCAACGTATATTAATAAATGATGTTGGTGGATGACATGTTAGGATATAAAAACATATTTAATGATGTTTTACATCAATGGCGTAGCCCACACACCCCGAGTGGTTCACTTCCACTTTCTCTTGTATCCTGGGCCACATTCAGCACCAACAGACGGAAGAAACTGGTTTGAAACAGAAAATGAGAAGTGTTTTTCCTTCACAAGTACCTAATCTGTTTGGTGCCTAGACTGCCTGGTGAACACAACCAGAGGGCACTGAGAGACAAACATCCTGGCCGAACAAAAAACAGATGAAGCAATAGATCCGAAATGGACTGATAAAGACATCCATGATAAAGCAGTGCAGGCAGTGGTAACAAGGCTTATCTGACACAGACAATATTAAAACAAGCAATAAGAAACAAATTACAAAAGCAATAAGAGCGTGTGTGCTTTTTTCAGTGAAAACTAGCTAATAGTATCTGTGATAAGTTTGCAGTTGAGTTGGCCAATGAAAAAGCAATGATCTGCAGTTGAAAGGGACGGACTCCTGTTCCAGTCATCAACAGTCATGTAGGCTCCTGTTCCGGAGGCTCAGTCAGGATGTTATCATCATGGTAACGTCCGTGTCAGACCCACTCCTTGGGGTTTCGTAACACCTCCAGCATATCGGCTTCCTGGGTGCCTTTAGGAGGCTCATGCATGTACTCCCACCTTGGGAGAGAGAAGAGCGTCAGCATGAATGAGAGACCTGGGTCTACTTCAGTGATTGCAGATAGAAATGCCATGTGCCAAGCTGAAATGAGTCGACTCCGCAGGCCTCTCTGGTTGATACTATAGGACACACCACACGGACATACTGAGCACAGTCTCCTTGACTCAACGGGAAGCCAGCTCTCATTTCCTTTCAAATTAATCTGTTGTATGATTATTGTTTAAACGTTGTTTCTTACCCTGGCTGCCATGCACTATACATTTCCCAATTGTAACAATAAAGAAATTGATTGATTGGTTGATCGGTAGATTTACCGGTAATATGATTGGAAGATTGATTGGTAGATTGGATTGGTTGAATTGATTTGACATCAGCATTTCACTCTCTGAACTTGTGACTATTAATCAGGGAGGGCTGATCACAAAGCTGATACGATCCCTATTCACATGTCTGTTCAACAACACACATACAGGCCTCACCAGCCCAGTACCCAATCACCAGTGCTATACACTCAGTGCTAGCAGCAGCAGCAGCACGACTGTGTGATGTCACAGAACTCACTTGGCTGTGAGCGGCAGGGACATGAGGATGCTCTCGATCCTGGAGCCTGGCGTGGCCAGTCCAAACTTCACCCCTCTGTCATACACCAGGTTAAACTCCACATACCTGAAGCACACACACACACACACACACACACACACCGAAGTTACAGACAGAAGACAGGCATGATTGTGAGAATACACACAAGATGTGTATTTCTTAATGGCACACACACAGATAGCCCTCTCATCTGTACCCACCTGCCTCGCCGCACCTGTTGCCAGTCCTTCTCCTCTGGGCTGAAGGGGTCATTGAGGTGTTTCTGGACGATGGGCAGGTAACAGGGCACCACGGTGTGGGCACAGCTCTTAACAAAACTGAACGCCTCCTCCTGGCTGGGAGAGTCCAGGTCGTCAAAGAAGATGCCACCGATGCCCCGCGTCTCGCCACGATGGCGGATGTAGAAGTACCGGTCACACCTACAGGCAGCACACCAGGAGGAGTAGTGTTTTGAATGAACTAAGCTTGAGGAAACATGTTCTTTTGCATGTTATGGTGACACCACTTATACCCGCCTGTAGGTATATTGCTTTAGAACTTCTTAGATTCATGCATTTAGACCAGCAGGCTTTAAATAAAGTGTTGCCCATGTTATTAATATTTAAAGTCCCCGCAAAATTGGATCATAACAACTGGTACAGTGCAGAACTTTTACAGGTATTTAACCCATCAGAGTCTAAGCCCTGTCTAAGCCTGGGGGGGGGGGGGGGTTCTACTAAGCTATATGGAATTGTTTTAAGAAGGTCATACCAAGGATCATTTAGCTATTTCATTTGGAATTATAAGACCCCTTGAAGGATAAATTTTTTATTTGAGGAACATTTATCTATCTTACTGCTATTAGCCCATACTAACGCATTGAATAACAGATTCACTACATGGAACAACGGATAGTCCCAACAAAATATCAAAAGGAAGTTTGTTCTGATGTGTCTCTTCTATATTTAAGAGATACAAGAAAGATCAGTAAACATTTTGTATTAATTATTTTACATATATTTAACCCAATATTTTTGGCATTAAACTGTCTCCATATATACAGTGACTTGCAAAAGTATTCATCCCCCTTAGCGTTTTTCCTATTTTGTTGTAATTTAAATGGATTTTTATTTGGATTTCATGTAATGGACTTATACAAAATAGTCCAAATTGGTGAAGTGAAATGAAAAAAATAACTTGTTTCAAAAAATTCGCTAAAATAAATAGCGGAAAAGTGATGCATGCATATGTATTCACCCCCTTTGCAATGAAGCCCCTAAATAAGATTTGGTGCAACCAATTACCTTCAGAAGACACATAATTAGTTAAATAAAGTACACTTGTGTGCAATCTAAGTGTCACATGATCTCAGTATACACTACCGTTCAAAAGTTTGGGGTCACTTAGAAATGTCTTTTTTTTTTTTTTACGAAAAGCATTTTTTTTTTGTCCATTAAAATAACATCAAATTGATCAGACATACAGTGTAGACATTGTTAATGTTGTAAATGGCTATTGTAGCTGGAAACGGCTGATTTTTTATGGAATATCTACATAGGCATACAGAGGCCCATTATCAGCAACCATCAGTCCTGTGTTCCAATGGCACGTCGTGTTTGCTAATCCAAGTTAATAATTTTAAAAGGCTAATTGATCATTAGAAAACCCTTTTGCAATTATGTTAGCACAGCTGAAAACTATTGTGCTGATTAAAGAAGCAATAAAACTGGCCTTCTCGAGACTAGTTGTTTATCTGGAGCATCAGCAATTGTGGGTTCGATTACAGGACCAGGCAAGGAGGGCATTAATCAGAGGCAACAAAGAAACCAAAGATAACCCTAAAGGAGCTGCAAAGCTCCACAGCGGAGATTGGAGTATCTGTATATAGGACCACTTTAAGCCGTACACTCCACAGAGCTGGGCGTTACGGAAGAGTGGCCAGAAAAAGGCATTGCTTCAAGAAAAAAATAAGCAAACACGTTTTGGTGTTCGCCAAAAGCCATACGGGAGACTCCCCAAACATATGGAAGAAGTTACTCTGGTCAGATAAAAATTGAGCTTTTTGGCTATCAAGGAAAACGCTATGTCTGGCGCAAACCCAACACCTCTCATCACCCCGAGAACACCATCCCCACAGTGAAGCATGGTGGTGGCAGCATCCTCTGTAGCTCAGCTGGTAGAGCACGGCGCTTGTAACGCCAAGGTAGTCGGTTCGATCCCCGGGACCACCCATACACAAAAATGTATGCACGCATGACTGTAAGTCGCTAAATGGCATATTATTATGTTTTTCCATCGGCAGGGACTGGGAAACTGGTCAGAATTGAAGGAATGATGGATGGCGCTAAATACAGGGAAATTCTTGAGGGAAACCTGTTTCAGTCTTCCAGAGATTTGAGACTGGGACGTAGGTTCACCTTCCAGCAGGACAATGACCCTAAGCATACTGCTAAAGCAACACTCGAGTGGTTTAAGGGGAAACATTGAAATGTCTTGGAATGGCCTAGTCAAAGCCCAGACCTCAATCCAATTGAGAATCTGTGGTATGACTTAAAAGACTGCTGTACACCAGCGGAACCAGGAGCTGGAGCAGTTTTGCCTTGAATAATGGGCAAAAATCCCAGTGGCTAGATGTGCCAAGCTTATAGAGACATACCCCAAGAGACTTGCAGCTGTAATTGCTTCAAAAGGTGGCTCTACAAAGTGTTGACTTTGGGGGGGGGTGAATAGTTATGCACGCTCATGTTCTGTTATTTTGTCTTATTTCTTGTTTGTTTCACAAGAAAAAATATTTTGCATCTTCAAAGTGGTAGGCATGTTGTGTAAATCAAATGATACACACCCCCAAAAAATCAATTTTAATTCCAGGTTGTAAGGCAACAAAATAGGAAAAATGCCAAGTGGGGTGAACACTTTCGCAAGCCACTGTACTTCCATTAATTTGTTCTACTGGTACCGGGGGACCTTCAGATGAGTCCTGTGAGTCCTAGAGCTAAACAACCAACATGTACATGTTCATGAGAGTCTCACCTTTGCACAGATGGGTCATATTAGTGTGTAGCCCAAACGGTTCAGACGCTACAGACAGAAGTCGGCAGATCGGCTGTAACGACTTTAGACGAGTCTCCTGATACTTGTGGAGGTCGTAGAGCAAAGGTTGTGAAAGTCTCGCCGTAATAGTTTCTAGGCTAAACCGTTCGGAAGTTACAGACCATTTTGTGAGAACACCAATTTTCGGGATATCTCATGTTCCGAGAAACACCGCTCTAGCTCTGTCACCTTACACCGCAGATGCAGAAGTGCGACATAGGCGGATGTAGTGGATTGAGACGCATCCAATGCAAAAAAACATATCTCTGACTGATTTTGATGGAGATGTATGTATTATGCTAATTATATTTCCACCCGGGGCATCGACCTTAGGGGGTTAAAACATAGCAGAAATGTGGAGCTACTGGTTTCAATGACTCTAGACACAGAGAGGTAGTTATTAAGTTATAATAATGTTATTACGCTCAATGAAAATGCAACCAAATGTTATTTAAAAATACAACTACTGTATGTGAGTTGAGAGAAGATCAAGATAATGTCAATCTGGGGGAAAAAATAACAGAACTGTATGAATGTGTAAAATGCAAAGAGGCTATAGGGACCCACACATAACACACAAAGATGAACAGTACCCACACTCACTCAGTCTCCCATTCATTGACACAATGTCATTATTTATCTAGATACCACTGAACAAACAGTCTTCTTATCACTGCTGAACAGTAAAGACCCACCCTGTGTAGTCACATGCACACACACACACACAATCCACCACTCAGTCAAACCACTCAGTCATTTTTTCACATTGTGTCACAGATACGTGTCGTACCACTTTTTGAAGTCGGGGTAGTACTGAGGGTGATGTTTGTCACAGGCCTCCTTCAAACTGTTGTGAAAGTGAGCACCATCCTCCTTATTGACATAGGTAGGAGTCAGGTCAGTACCCCCACCAAACCACCACTGTTTAGTACCTGGGAGACAGACACACACACACACACACACAGAGAAGACAAGAGTCATCATTCATTATGTCAGCTCTGACTATTGAACGGTATGAGGTCACAGGTCACAGCCTTACCGTCTTCTTCTTCTATCTCAAAGTATCTGTAGTTGAAGTGCACTGTGGGAATGTGGGGGTTCGTGGGGTGGATGACGGAGCTCACGCCCATGGCACAGAACGGCAGCTTGCCTGGGAGAGGACAAAACAGTACAATAAAATGCAATACAATACAATTCAATTCATCTCAACCATAGTCCAACTCAAGGATCCAATCCTGATTCCTTTAACACATTATCTTATCAGAATGTCTATCTCCGGTCTCGAGTGACACATAGCATGAGGTGACCCACTGTACTGCAAGACAACATATATCGTTTGCTGTATTTTATGAGGTTGATATGAACTCTGAGGGCTATACTCACCATCTTTTCCTTTGAGGACCTTCCCTCTGCTGCGCATCTGCTTGGCGGCCTCCTCGGTCAGGTTCCCAAACACCACGGACACATTGACCCCCGCCTTCTCAAACACCTTCCCATCCTGCAGCACACAGCTGATGCCCCCGCCACCTGAAAGACAGACAGACGGATAGACCGACCAATGGACAAACAGACAGACAGAAACAGACAGGCATGGACAAACAGAAAGGCAGCACAGAGACAGACTTGGTGTTATTACACTAAAGAAAGGCCCAAAACCCCAAGCACTTTGTCATATTATCATACCAATACCGACATGCGTGCAGAATAAGACAGGGTGGCGGTGGGTAGCTACTATACATAACTGGACTAAGGACAGGGTGGATAACTAAATGCATATTATTATTATTATAACCTTTGGATTAGCTTTTGTACATTCATTGAACACGTCTATGTTTTGCTTGTGTCATTGTGAATGTGCCAGGGTTGATAGTTGCCAGATCGGTCAAATTAGGCCTAGGTAAGATTATACACTGGATTTCGGTAGAGGTTGACTGACTAGTCTATCTATGGGCGCATACTTGCCTTCTTTCCGTTCCCATCGGTCCACTTTGAACTTGCCGCCGTCCACCTCCTCGAGCGCTCTGCAGAACTCCGCCTGCGTCTCCATGATCAGCATCTCCATCCTCGTGCACATCTCCTCTTTCCTCTGCTGGAGAACTTTAACGTCGGTACACGGTGGAGACATGAATGTCTTGCATTTATCCGCTATCTCCGTGTCCTCCTCCTCGGCTTTGGGGATCACTGATGCCATTTCAGCTCGCTGAAAGTGACTAGCGCTGGCCACAAACCCCGCCACTGCCGCGGCTGCTCCAGCTACAAGCACTGCGCCCGTCCTGGTTCGCCCGGGTGCGGTTCTGCCTGCAGTCCCGAGGGACATGAAGCGCACTCCAGTAGCTTTGGGAACCCATCTCACTCTCGGAAGCGAAGTTAACCTGCGGACTGAAGTTTTATGGAAGACAGTAAGGTGCGAGTCCACTCTGGAAGCTCCCTTTGAATAACGAATAAAACATTGTCTCACGGTGGTTTGCGCCGTTCTGTTTATGGAATAAAGAACGATGGTAGCCATGAGTAGTAAATTATCTAGCTATCCTCTCCGTGTAAAAGGTACAAGTTGGTAAACATCGAGCAAAAACTGAAAATACTATCACAAGTTGACAGACGTGCAGGCAGACACTTCTCTAAAGGTCCGGGGGTGTGTACTTGCGTTGAACCGAGCGAGGAAGCATGGGAAATTGTGTTTCCGATGAGACTTTGCAGGCTTGTTTAACTGATAGTAAATTGCAGCAAACATCAAGACCCATAAGCCAGTGCTTTTCTGTAGGCGTATCTTTATTAACCGGAACGTGACAAGAGACCAGTTGCTCTGTGTCAAGATAAGAGTTATTGGCGCATAATGACTGATGGATGTATTATCTTATTCCTATAACGCATGAAGAAAAGTATGCCATATGCATTTTTTTTCTTCACACAAGAGCAAATCGTGGACAAAAATGTGTTGTAATTCTCTATGACAACAGCAGTATTAAACCCTTATTAGTGGCGCCTGGGAGAGGGAGAAGCACAGGAGATTATCTGGACAGGTGCTCCAGCTAGCTGAATCACGAAAATGTAGGTCCATAGAATAGGATATAATACATGTGTTTTATTTAGAACTTCTGGTAGTGGTGAGTTTGGGATTTTATGTGCACCTTCTCTATTGCATACATAGCTCTTCGTTCGTTGTTATTTCAGACTTTTGTCATATAATGAAGCGTGTAGACTATGTTTGTAGAAATAGTGGCCTATTATTAAGCAATAAGGCCCGAGGGGGTGCGGTATATGACCAATATCCATGGCTGATCCGGGAGGAGGGGAGCAGCGACGGCCAGGTAGGTCAGTGGGGATTGGTTGATCAGTGAGGAGGGGAGGAGCGATGGCCAGGTAGGTTAGTGGGGATTGGCTGATCAGCGACGAGGGGAGGAGCGACGGCCAGGTAGGTTACTGGGGATTGGCTGATCAGTGAGGAGGGGAGGAGCGGCGGCCAGGTAGGTCAGTGGGGATTGGCTGATCAGTGAGGAGGGGAGGAGCGACGGCTAGGTAGGTCAGTGGGGATTGGCTGATCAGTGAGGAGGGGAGGGGTGACATATAGGTAGGTTAGTGGGGATTGGTTGATCAGTGAGGTGGGGAGGAGCGATGGCCAGGTAGGTTACTGGGGATTGGCTGATCAGTGAGGAGGGGAGGAGCGACGGCCAGGTAGGTCAGTGGGGATTGGCTGATCAGCGTGGAGGGGCGGAGCGACCGGCAGTAGGTCAGTGGGGATTGGCTGATCAGTGAGGAGGGGAGGAGCGATGGCCGATCAGTGAGGAGGGGAGGAGCGATGGCCAGGTAGGTCAGTGGTTGATCAGGGAGGAGGGGAGGAGCGACAGCCAGGTAGGTCAGTGGGGATTGGCTCATCATTTTACATTTTTACATTTTAGTCATTTAGCAGACGCTCTTATCCAGAGCGACTTCCAATTAGTGAGTGCATACATTTTACATACTGGCCCCCCGTGGGGAGGGGTGGAGCAACGGCCAGGTAGGTTAGTGGGGATTGTCTGATCAGTGAGGAGGGGAGGAGCGATGGCCAGGTAGGTCAGTGGGGATTGGCTGATCAGTGTGGAGGGGAGGAGCGACTGCTAGTAGGTCAGTGGGGATTGGCTGATCAGTGTGGAGGGGCGGAGCAACAGCCATGTAGGTCAGTGCGGATTGGCTGATCAGTGTAGAGGGGAGGAGTGACAGCCAGGTAGGTCAGTGTGCTGGTGCGTCGCCCGTCTCTTTCTGTGAAAGTGTCAGTGTGTGGCGTGGTGTTGTGCTATGCGTGTGCCACGTCTCAGTGTCTGTTTTCATCAACCAGGTTTCCATCCAACATTCTTGTGTGAGTTAAGTACATGCCGGATAAAACGTGTCACAAGAGCCTGATGGAAACAGAAAATGTGTCGGTAAACTTTCCAAATGTCGACAACAAAACTAAATACGCAAGACAAGGTGGGATCTTTTTGTGTCTGTAATATTAATTATAAGAGAAATGTCGGTGGCAACGCTTTTAATGCGCAAATATTGATAATATCGAAGTAAACTTTGAGTCACACGACTCGTCAGGAAAGCATGCAGTTCATTAGGCTACAGATGAAATAAGTTATCATGAACTAAGCTAAGGACCCTGGGACTAAACACCTCCCTCTGCAACTGGATCCTGGACTTCCTGATGGGCCGCCCCCAGGTGGTAAGGGTAGGTAACAACACATCTGCCACGCTGATCCTCAACACGGGGGCCCCTCAGGGGTGCGTGCTCAGTCCCCTCCTCTACTCCCTGTTCACCCATGACTGCATGTCCAGGCACGACTCCAACACCATCATTAAGTTTGCCGACGACACAACAGTGGTAGGACTGATCACCGACAACGATGAGACAGCCTATAAGGAGGAGGTCAGAACCTGGCCGTGTGGTGCCAGGATAACAACCTCTCCCTCAACGTGATCAAGACAAAGGAGATGATTGTGGACTACAGCCCCATTCTCATCGACGGGGGTGTAGTGGAGCAGGTTGAGAGCTTCAAGTTCCTTGGTGTCCACATCACCAACAAACTATCATGGTCCAAACACACCAAGACAGTCGTGAAGAGGGCACGACAAAGCCTTTTCCCCCTTAGGAGACTGAAAAGATTTGGCATGGGTCCTCAGATCCTCAAAAAGTTATTCAGCTGCACCATCGAGAGCATCCTGACTGGTTGCATCACCGCTTGGTATGGCAACTGCTCGGCCTCCGACCGCAAGGCACTACAGAGGGTAGTGCGTACCGCCCAGTACATCACTGGGGCCAAGCTTCCTGCCATCCAGGTCCTCTATACCAGGCGGTCAGAGGAAGGCCCTACAAATTGTCAAAGACTCCAGCCACCCTAGTCATAGACTGTTCTCTCTGCTACCGCACGGCAAGCGGTACCGGAGCGCCAAGTCTAGGTTCAAAAGGCTTCTTAACAGCTTCTACCCCCACGCCATAAGACTCCTGAACAACTAATCATGGCTACCCGGACTATTTGCATTGTGGTGTCGGGGTGCTTTGCTGGTGACACTGTCTGTGATTTATTTAGAATTCAAGGCACACTTAACCAGCATGGCTACCACAATATTCTACAGCGATATGCCATCCCATCTGGTTTGAGCTTAGTGGGACTATCATTTATTTTTCAACAGGACAATGACCCAACACACCTCCAGGCTGTGTAAGGGCTATTTGACCAAGAAGGAGAGTGATTGAGTGCTGCATCAGATGACCTGGCCTCCACAATCACCAGACCTCAACCCAATTGAGATGGTTTGGGATGAGTCGGACCGCAGAGTACAGGAAAAGCAGCCAACAAGTGCTCAGCATTTGTGGGAACTCCTTCAACACTGTTGGAAAAGCATTCCAGGCGAAGCTGGTTGAGAGAATGACAAGAGTGTGCAAAGCTGTCATCAAGGCAAAGGGTGGCTATTTGGAGATTCTCAAATATAAAATATACTTTGATTTGTTTAACACTTTTTTGGTTACTACATGATTCCATATGTGTTATTTCATAGTTTTGATGTCTTCAGTATTATTCTACAATGTAAAAAATAATAAAAATAAAGAAAAACCCTTAAATGAGTAGAAGTGTCCAAACTTTTGACAGGTAGTGTACATATTACCTCAATTACCTTGACTAACCAGTGCCCCCATTTAATGGAAACACATCTCTGGTGGGAGTCATGCGGATTTTAGAATAGTCTCCAATTGGATGGAAACCTAGCTACAGACTCACATTCAGACACTTAACTTTCACTGTGTCAGGGAATATGGCTCTGCACTGGATACATTATTGATAACCACACACACACACACAAGGTCGTCAAGTGTCTCACAAAGTATCAATGTACCTAATTAACATAGTTTGCTGACATACTGTCTGTTGAGAGACTCGGGTGAATATAACTATTACTCAGATCTCTCCTAGGATGTATTCACTAGGAACCGAACGAAAGCAAACGATACCAAACCGGGAATTTGGCCAATAAAAACGTTTTGCTACGGTATGCACTAATGATAATACACCCTTGTTCCTCGTCCTTACAGGACCCTGACTATGAGGACATCAAAGCAGAAATAGAGCTGGAGGAAGAGGAGGAAAATAAGCGAGGAAGGAAGGAGGACAAGAAATGCCCGAAAGAGGAGAAGAGAGCGCTTTACATGTTGCGCTTATATTTCTGTTCAGTATAGATAGAGTTTAGTTGAATCAGTCAGTACTTCTGAAGGATTTAATGATTTACTGCTGTCATATTCATGTCTAGATTTTCAAATACATTTTTGTAAAACCACTTCTCGAAATGTTTGTTAACTGAACCTATTTACAATGTGTTCAAACTGTAAACAATGTACACATTCCCAAATAAAGGATGCAGTTGTAGTTATTTTATGCAATATTGTCTTTTTAATTTATAAGTACACATTACAACAAAAGAGATGAATACAACAATTTGTTTGTGCTACAGCAACTCATATTTAAATATTAGTGAGACAAAAGTGGCCATCCTCCCTATCAAAAGATAAGCTAAAACTCTATTAACTTAAAATGGATAAGTTACGTATAGCAGTTGTATCATTGAAATATCACAGTACACAATAAGGCACATTCTTTCTATTGGACTATAACAGTGCGCGTGCCTGCCTGTCTATTGTTACCCATGAAAAGAGGACGTTTTGAAAGGAAAGGACACTTGTTACGCCACCTTAAAATAAGAATTCCTTTAAACAGGAATAAATGACATCTTTTATTAAAAAGGTTCTAATATCAAATGCAGACAATAGCAGCTGTCTATCTTTAAAACACACCCTTGTGTCAGCTAACTTGTAAACAGTTATCTTACTCTGTGTTTGATTATATTGAAGGGAGGGATTAGCTCTGGTCCAAGGCGTTATTAAGGCTTGCTAACACTAGCAAGATGCACTAACGCCATGGACCAGAGCTAGGGAGTGAGTGATGATTATGATGATGTCTCTTTATCACACTACAAACAAGAAGGAAGTGCACATAAAGTATTGACGTACGATCAGACATTATTGTCAGCCAATGGAAAGGGTTATAGCTCCCTGTTTGTCATATTTCTCTCGGTAAATGCATATTCAAGACAATATAACAATGAATAAATAGATCAAACATATTTACTGTGTTTACACCTCCTGAAAGAAATAATCCCAGTTCCGATTGTTTTATGAGTGCATGTTTTAAACGTTATAAACCAAAGACCAGAGAGAAACAATGTCAACCGCCGTTCTTCTCTTTGGTTTGTTCACAGTGCAGTAAGAACTGGACGTATGTACAGTGAGGGAAAAAAGTATTTGATCCCCTGCTGATTTTGTATGTTTGCCCACTGACAAAGACATGATCAGTCTATAATTTTAATGGTAGGTTTATTTGAAAAGTGAGAGACAGAATAACAACAAAAAAATCCAGAAAAATGCATGTCAAAAATGTTATAAATTGATTTGCATTTTAATGAGGGAAATAAGTATTTGACCCCTCTGCAAAACATGACTTAGTACTTGGTGGCAAAACCCTTGTTGGCAATCACAGAGGTCAGACGTTTCTTGTAGTTGGCCACCAGGTTTGCACGCATCTCAGGAGGGATTTTGTTCCACTCCTCTTTGCAGATCTTCTCCAAGTCATTAAGGTTTCGAGGCTGACGTTTGGCAACTTGAACCTTCAGCTCCCTCCACAGATTTTCTATGGGATTAAGGTCTGGAGACTGGCTAGGCCAATCCAGGACCTTAATGTGCTTCTTCTTGAGCCACTCCTTTTTTTGCCTTGGCCGTGTGTTTTGGGTCATTGTCATGCTGGAATATCCATCCACGACCCATTTTCAATGCCCTGGCTGAGGGAAGGAGGTTCTCACCCAAGATTTGACAGTACATGGCCCCATCCATCGTCCCTTTGATGCGGTGAAGTTGTCCTGTCACCTTAGCAGAAAAACACCCCAAAGCATAATGTTTCCACCTCCACGTTTGACGGTGGGGATGGTGTTCTTGGGGTCATAGGCAGCATTCCTCCTCCTCCAAACACGAGTTTGAGTTGATGCCAAAGAGCTCCATTTTGGTCTCATCTGACCACAACACTTTCACCCAGTTCTCCTCTGAATCATTCAGATGTTCATTGGCAAACTTCAGACGGGCCTGTATATGTGCTTTCTTGAGCAGGGGGACCTTGCGGGCGCTGCAGGATTTCAGTCCTTCACGGCGTAGTGTGTTACCAATTGTTTTCTTGGTGTGACTATGGTCCCAGCTGCCTTGAGATTATTGACAAGATCCTCCCGTGTAGTTCTGGGCTGATTCCTCACCGTTCTCATGATCATTGCAACTCCATGAGGTGAGATCTTGCATGGAGCCCCAGGCCGAGGGAGATTGACAGTTATTTTGTGTTTCTTCCATTTGCGAATAATCGCACCAACTGTTGTCACCTTCTCACCAAGCTGATTGACGATGGTCTTGTAGCCCATTCCAGCCTTGTGTAGGTCTACAATCTTGTCCCTGACATCCTTGGAGAGCTCTTTGGTCTTGGCCATGGTGGAGAGTTTGGAATCTGATTGATTGATTGCTTCTGTGGACAGGTGTCTTTTATATAGGTAACAAGCTGAGATTAGGAGCACTCCTTTTAAGAGTGTGCTCCAAATCAGCTCGTTACCTGTATAAAAGACACCTGGGAGCCAGAAATCTTTCTGATTGAGAGGGGGTCAAATACTTATTTCCCTCATTAAAATGCAAATCAATTTATAACATTTTTGAAATGCGTTTTTCTGGATTTTGTTGTTGTTATTCTGTCTCTAACTGTTCAAATAAACCTACCATTAAAATTATAGACTGATCATTTCTTTGTCAGTGGGCAAACGTATAAAATCAGCAGGGGATCAAATACTTTTTTCCCTCACTGTATGACAGGTCTGTATTGTAAAAACCTCGTATATGAATCACAAAGTCAACTGAATCTTTAAAGTGTGAGGCACAACGACTGTGTTTCAACCCAACAGAGATAGTCAATAGAGAGAAAAACTAAGACCCAAACGAGAACTCAAGTACTGGTATTTACAGAAATAAAAATCACACACGATCACAACAACAACAACAGACTAAAGCCACGATGACAACAAATATAAGAACAACAACGATATAACCTTGCACTTCAAACAGTACAAAAATAACATTGTTCTCATCCAAACTTCATTCAATAAATAGATAGATAAAGATTTGGGTGGCTCCTACAGCTCATCTTTGGGGTTGATGTTGAGGCTCGTGTCCCACTTTGATTGGCTGCTCTGGTTGTCCAATGCCTGCACCACCTCATCAGCCTGTAGACGCTCCTGGAGGAGAGAGGGGGGTGTGGGGGAGAAAAAAGAGGAATAATGTATCATGATATAAACATATTCCTAAATATATAGCAATAAACATCTTCCTAAATATATAGCAATAAACATCTTCCTAAATATATAGCAATAAACATCTTCCTAAATATATAGCAATAAACATCTTCTTAAATATATAGCAATAAACATCTTCCTAAATATATAGCAATAAACATCTTCTTAAATATATAGCAATAAACATCTTCCTAATCAAATACCAACAAAACATCTTCCTAAATAAATACCAATAAACATCCTCCTAAACAAATACCAATAATCATATTCCTAAATAAAAAGCAATAATAAACATGTACATAGCATGATGTACTATCCTCTATATGTGTGACTATGGAAGACATAATGATAGATGGGGTCATCATGACAGTTTACCAGTTCTTTGAAGAGGGGGTCCAGGGTGAACCACAGGGCCACGGCACACCTCTGCCCCCTGGTGACGGCCCTCACCCCATGGGGGTTCTCCCCTCCAGACGAGAAGCCCACCATACGACCACACTGTGGCTTCACCTGAGCCTGGGGGAAGAGGAGGAGGAGAACATGGTCAGTACTGACTGTTGTTTTGGGATCACATTGGATGTGGAAAACTCCAACTTTATATAGACTAGGTTCCAAATGACAGAAACTTGCCATGCAAAAGTACAAAGAAAGGGTAAGATAGTAATAAGATAAAAATGTCAGGAAATACTGCCACCAAAAATGTCCATTCTCAGGAGAGGACTCACTGTGACTGTTTTGGCATCCATTTCTGTGAAGATGAACTCCCCTCCCTCAAAGTCTCCATTCAGGTACAACAGAGCACTGAGAACACAATGAAAACCATTGGAGATGTATACTAGCCATGCCTATTGAACACTAGATAATGGTATAGTATGGTGACATTGGTAGCATGAGTAGATTTCAATGTATACTGAACAAAAATATAAACGTAACATGTAAAGTGTTGGTCCCATGTTTCATGAGCTGAAATAAAAGATCCCAGAAATGTTCCATATGCACAAAAAACATATTTCTCAAACATGTTGTGCATACATTGGTTTACATCCCTGTTAGTGAGCATTTCTCCTTTGCCAAGATAATCCATCCACCTGACAGGTGTGGCATACCAAGAAGCTGATTAAACAGCATGATCAGAAGAATTTGGCAGTACGTCCAACCGGCCTCACAACCGCAGACCATGTGTATCCACGCCAGCTCAGGACCTCCACATCCGGCTTCTTCAACTGCGGGATCATCTGAGACCAGCCACCCGGACAGCTGATGAAACTGTGGGTTTGCACAACCGAAGAATATCTGCACAAACTGTCAGAAACCGTCTCAGGGAAGCTCATCTGCGTGCTCGTCGTCCTCACCAGGGTCTTGACCTGACAGCAGTTCGGCGCCGTAACCGACTTCAGTGGGCAAATGCTCACCTTCAATGGCCACTGGCACGCTGGAGAAGTGTGCTCTTCACAGATGAATCCCGGTTTCAAATGTACCGGGCATTTGGCAGACAGCGTGTATGGCGTCATGTAGGCGAGCGGTTTGCTGATGTCAACGTTGTTGAGTGCCCCATGGTGTCAGTGGGGTTATGGTATGGGGAGGCATAAGATACGAACACTAATCACATTTTATCGATGGCAATGTGAATGCACAGAGATACCGTGATGAGATCCTGAGGCCCATTGTCATGCCATTCATCCGCCACCATCACCTCATGTTTCAGCATGATAATGCACAGCCCCATGTCGCAAGGATCTGTACACAATTGCTGGAAGCTGAAAATGTTCCAGTTCTTCCATGGCCTGCATACTCACCAGACATTTCACCCAGTGAGCATGTTTGGGATGCTCTGGATCGACGTGTACGACAGCATGTTCCAGTTCCCGCAACTTCACACAGCCATTGAAGAGGAGTGGGACAACATTCCACAGGCCACAATCAACAGCTTGATCAACTCTATGTGAAGGAGATGTGTCGCCTGTAAAATCTTTGAAATTGTTGCATGTTGCGTTTTTTCTATTTTTGTTCAGTGTAATTAGGAAGCAGCTTAGCCGTGGACCAGAGCTAAGCCTAAGATACATTATAACTACATTGAAACCTATTCACTGGACCAGAGCTAGGTATAAGCTCTAACCTGTAGTCTCTGTAGGTGTAGGCTGGTGGTTCTTTCCAGCACTCATTGGCCTCTGGGTCTAACAGACAGTTGTCAGCGTGGATAGGATGGCTCAGGTCATTTCTATGGTCCTGTTGCCCTGAACCAAACAGAGATCAACTTTATAAACACCAAATAGAACCAAACGAAGACAAACTTTACTAACCACAAAACCGCACAAAACATAGACTAAGTTTACTTAACCTACACAGAGCCAAACTGAACCAAATGTGACTAAACCTACATGCTCAAACTCACAGTCACATGATGTTCAAAGTTATATGACACTATAAGGAAAGGTTGATAAGGGTCAAGTTCCTGGCTGACTACATTGCAGATGCATGCCAGATCTTACAACGCCTGGATTGGTATTTAACATATCAGCTAACCACATCATATGTCATAGCCATCTGATGCTCGACAGCACCGTCGATGACATGGAACGCGACAATTAGTTGATGCAATGCAATGCCTACAAATCTAGTCGGGCAGGAACTCAACCACAGATATATTGATACCATAATCAATGGGCATGTTTGAGAGCATCAATTATGTGATGCATTGTGGGTAAATTGTGACTGATGTACAATAAAGAGAAGTTATGTATGATGCAAGGTGATTTGTAGATCAGTCATTTAACAGATGCCTGCAATGTCAAACAAATCCTCTAGAACAAGACATTGTCACTGGGAAATTGGCTCACCTGTGATGGGAAATTGGCTCACCTGTGATGGCAGTCACTGGGAAATTGGCTCAACTGTGATGGGAAATTGGCTCACCTGTGATGGCAGTCCGGCACACCAGGTGTGTGTAGGAGAAGTGAAGTGTTGAGTTGAGCAGGAAGTAAGACTCGATGATGCGCCTGGCCCTCTCGCTGACGTCATAGAACAGACGAGCGCTCCTCAGAGGGACACGGCCTTCATAGCCATACTGAAGGTAAAACACAGTAGAAACATGGTAAAAACAAAACACAGTAGAAACATGGTAAAACACAGTAGAAACACGGTAGAAACACAGTAGAAACACAGTAGAAACACGGTAGAAACACGGTAGAAACACGGTAGAAACACAGTAGAACCACGGTAGAAACACAGTAGAAACACGGTAGAAACAAAACACAGTAGAAACACTGGAGAAACACAGTAGAAACATAGTAGAAACAAAACAGTAGAAACACTGGAGAAACACACTGGAGAAACACAGTAGAAACAGTAGAAATATGGTAAAACAGTAGAAACATGGTAGAAACAAAACACAGTAGAAACATGGTAAAACACAGTAGAAACACAGTAGAAACACAGTAGAAACACGGTAGAAACACAGTAGAAACATAGTAGAAACACGTAGAACACAGTAGAAACCAGTAGACATGTAGAAACAACAGTAGAAACACTGGAGAAACACACTGGAGAAACACAGTAGAAACAGTAGAAATATGGTAAAACAGTAGAAACATGGTAAAACATTATAAAGATGGTATAAACATGGTTGAAATATTCACTCTGCATGTTGTCTGATAAGGAACTGAAAATATTCTCTAGTTGCCTACTAAGGTACTGAAGGAGTGACTTTTTGATAACTTCAAGAAAAGGATACTGAGAGATTGTTATATGAAAAGGGCAATACAAATTAAGTGTTCATACTGTAATCATTACTATCTGGTTTCAAACTGAGGCTCATTTTATCTCCTCCAATGTGTCTCTCTGTATAGACGCTTGCTTACCTGCAGTGCTTTCAGCACAGTGGCTCCCTCAAACTTTTCGTTGGGTGTGTGAGGAGACATCTTCCCTCGGTATCCATCTCCTGCCATAGTGACAGTCTGTAGACCAAACACAGAGACGCGTAAACCCCTGCACTCATGACAATGATAATGTGTCAATGACTATGTAAATGTAAACACATGTTACAACACAAATCAAATACAGGTTTATTGGTCGCTTACACAGTTTATCAGATGTTATAGCAGGTGCAGCCACATGCTTATGTTACTAGATCCTAACAATGCAGTAAAATGTCAAACAAGTTCACAAATAATAAAATAAAGAAATCTTGACATATCGGAACGAATACAATTAAACTAAATAGCACTGTAACAGTAATCCAAATGATAACTCCTGAGTGGCGCAGTGGTCTAAGGCACTGCATCGCAGTGCTAACTGTGCCACTAGAGACCCTGGTTCGAATTCCAGGCTCTGTCGCAGCCGGCCGTGACCGGGAGACTCATGGGCGGCGCACAATTGGCCCAGCGTCGTCCAAGGTAGGGGAGGGAATGGCCGGCAGGGACGTAGCTCAGTTGATAGAGCATGGCGTTTGCAATGCCAGGGTTGTGGGTTCGATTCCCACGGGGGGCCAGTATAAAAAAATATGTATTCACTAACTGTAAGTCGCTCTGGATAAGAGCGTCTGCTAAATGACTAAAATGTAAATGTAAAATGTATATCTATACGTACAGTGCAGTCCGTAATTATTGGGACAGTGAAGGATTGTTTATTATTTTGGCTCTATACTTGAAATCAAACAATGACTATGAGGTTAAAGTGCAGACTGTCAGATTTAATTTGTGTATTTTCATCCATATCAGGTGAACCGTTTAGAAATTGCAGCACTTTTTGTACATAGTCCCCCCATTTTAGGGGACCAAAAGTATTGGGACAAATTCACTTATATGTGTATTAAAGTAGTAAAAAGTTAATTATTTGGTCCCATATTCATAACACACAATGATTACATCAAGCTTGTGACTCTACACATTTGTTGGATGCATTTGCTGTTTGTTTTGGTTGTGTTTCAGATGATTTTGTTCCCAATAGAAATGAATGGTAAATAATGTATTGTGTCATTTTGGAGTCACTTTTATTGTAAATAAGAATAGAATATGTTTGTAAACACTTCTACATGAATGTGGATGCTACCATGATTATGGATAATCCTGAATGAATCGTGAATAATGATGAGTGAGAGAGTTACAGACGATATATCATACCCCCACCAAAATGCTATCTTCCCCTGTTATTGTAATGGTGAGAGGATAGCATGTTTTGGGGCTATGAAATTTGTGCATCTGTAATTTTCTCACATCATTATTCACGATTCATTCAGGATTATCCGTGATCATGGTAGCATCCACATTCATGTAGAAGTGTTTAGAAACATATTCACAAGTGAATTTGTCCCAATACTTTTGCTCCCCTAAAATGGAGGGACTATGTACAAAAAGTGCTGTCATTTCTAAACGGTTCACCCGATACGGATGAAAATACCCTCAGATTAAAACTGACAGTCTGCACTTTAACCACATAGTCATTGTTTGATTTGATTTTCAGTATAGAGCCAAAAGAAGAAAAAATGCTTCACTGTCCCAAAAATTACAGAGGGCACCGGATGAATTTACACAATATATACTAGGAATGATATGTACAGCAGTACATATATTATAGTGAGCTAAGTCAAGAATCCAGTACATAAATAAATATGTGGTGTGTATAAACAGACAACTAAAATGCAATGTACAGCAGTAGAAATAACAGAAGGAGCTATGTGGAGAATACACTATTTAAATACACAGTACAAAACCCAATGGAAAAAATTGATAGAATTGCAGGAATTTAGCTTCCGGACCAGAGTCCAGAATATAAATATCTACCCTATATATACAAAAGTGTGTGGACACCCCTTCAAATTAGTGGATTCGGCTATTTCAGCCACACCCGGTTGCTGACAGGTGTATAAAATCGAGCACAAAGCAAAGCAATCTCCATAGACAAACATTGGCAGTAGAATGGCTTTACTGAAGAGCTCAGTGACTTTCAAAGTGGCATCGTCATAGGATGCCACCTTTCCAACAAGTCAGTTCGTCAAATTTCTGCCCTGCTAGAGCTGCCCCGGTCAACTGTAAGTGTTGTTATTGTGAAATGGAAATGTCTAGGAGCAACAACAGCTCCGCCGGGAAGTGGTTGGCCACACAAGCTCACAGAACGGGACCGCCGAGTGCTGAAGCACGTAGCTCGTCTGTCCTCGGTTGTAACACTCACTACCGAGTTCCAAACTGCCTCTGGAAGCAACGTCAGCACAATAATTGTTAGTCGGGAGCTTCATGAAATGGGTTTCCATGGCCGAGCAGCCTCACACAAGCCTAAGATCACCATGCGCAATGCCAAGCGTCGGCTGGAGTGGTGTAAAGCTCGCTGCCATTGGACTCTGGAGCAATGGAAACGCGTTCTCTGGAGTGATGAATCACGCTTCACCATCTGGCAGTCTGAAGGACGAATCTGGGTTTGGCGGATGCCAGGAAAACGCTACTTGACTTAATGCATAGTGCCAACTGTAAAGTTTGGTGGAGGAGGAATAATGGTCTAGGGTTGTTTTTCATGGTTCGGGGTAGGCCCCTTAGTTCCAGTGAAGGGAAATCTTAATGCTACAGCGTACAATGACATTCTAGACGATTCTGTGCTTCCAACTTTGTGGCAACAGTTTGGGGAAGGCCCTTTTCTGTTTCATCATGACAATGCCCCGTGTACAAAGCGAGGTCCATACAGAAATGGTTTGTTGAGATCGGTATGGAAGAACTTGACTGGCCTGCACAGAGCCCTGACCTCAACCCCATCGAACACCTTTGGGATGAATTGGAACGCCGACTGCGAGCCAGGCCTAATCACCCAACATCAGTGCCCGACCTCACTAATGCTCTTGTGGCTGAATGGAAGCAAGTCCCTGCAGCAATGTTCCAACATCTAGTGGAAAGCCTTCCCAGAAGAGTGGACGCTGTTATAGCAGCAAAGGGGGGACCATGATTTTGGAATTAGATGTTCGACAAGCAGGTGTCCGCATACTTTGGTCATGTAGTGTATGTATGTGAATGGTGTGTATATACAGTATGGACAATATGTGAATAGAAAAGGTGTGTACAGCAGTAGTTATATAGGATGAGCCTTGACTAGAATACAGTATATACATATGAAGTCTCTCGGTCCCAGCTTTGATGCACCTGTACTGTCTCTGCCTTTTAGATAGCAGCGGGGTGAACAGGCTGTGGCTCGGGTGGCTGAGGTCCTTGATGATCTTTTGGCCTTCCTGTGACACCGGGTGCTGTAGATGTCCTGGAGGGCAGGCAGTGTGCCCCCCGGTGATGCGTTGGGCTGACCGCAACACCCTATGGAGAGCCCTGCGGTTGCGGGCGGTGCAGTTGCCGTACCAGGCGGTGATACAGCCCAACAGAATGCTCTCAATGGTGCATCTGTATAAGTTGATGAAGGTCTTAGGGGCCAAGTAAAATTTCTTCAGCCTCCTGAGGTTGAAGATGCGCTGTTGCGCCTTCTTCACCACGCTGTCGTTGTGAAGGGACAATTTCAGGTCCTCAGTGATGTGTACGCCGAGGAACTTGAAGCTTTTGTCCTTCTCCACTATGGCCCCGTCGATGTGGGTGGGCTCTCTATGCTGTGTCCTGTAGTCCACCATCAACTCCTTCGTTTTGTTGACGTTGAGGTTATTTTTCTGGCACCACTGCACCAGTGCCCTCACCTTCTCCCTGGAGGCTGTCTCGTCATTGTTGGTAATCAGACCTACCACTGTTGTCGTCAGCAAACTTGATGATTGAGTTGGAGCCGTGCGTGGCCACGCAGTCGTGGGTGAACAGGGATTACAGCAGGGGGCTGAGCACGCATCCCTGTGGGGCCCCCGTGTTGAGGATCAGTGTCAAGGAGGTGTTGTTGCCTACCTTCACCACCTGGTGTCGGCCCATCAGGAAGTCCAGGACCCAGTTGCATAGGGAGGAGTTCAGACCCAGGGCCATGAACTTTGTAATGAGCTTGGAGGGCACTATGGTATTGAAGGCTGAGCTGTAGTCATTGAACAGCATTCTTACATAGGTATTTCTCTTGTCCACGTGTAATAAGGCATTGGGCAGTGCAATGACGATTGCGTTGTCCGTGGATCTGTTGGGGCTGTATGCGAATTGTAGTGGGTCTAGGGTGTCGGGTAAGGTGGAGGTGATATGATCCTTAACTAGCCTCTCAAAGCACTTCATGATGACAGAAGTGAGTGCTACAGGGTGATAGTCATTTAGTTCAGTTAACTTTGCTTTCTTGGTTACAGTAACAATGGTGGACATCTTGAAGCAAGTGGGGACAACAGACTGGGATAGGGAGAGATTGAATATGTTCGTAAACACTCCAGCCAGCTGGTCTGCATATGCTCTGAGAACGCGGCTAGGGATGCCTTCTGGGCCGGCAGCCTTGCGAGGGTTAACACGCTTGAAGGTCTTACGTTGGCCACAGAGATCGGGAGCACACAGTCCTCGTGAGCGTCGGGGGCCCGCGTCAGCGGTACGGTGTTGTTTTCCTTCGAAGCGGGAGAAGAAGGTGTTTAGCTCGTCTGGGAGCGAGGCGACAGTGTCCGCGACGTGGCTGGCTTTCCCTTTATAGTCAGTAATTGTCTGTAGTCCCTGCCACATACGTCTCGTGTCTGAAACCGTTGAATTGTTACTCCACTTTGTCCCTGTTCTGTTGTTTTGTCTCTTTGATTGCCTTACAGAGGTCATAGCTGGTCTGTTTGTACATGTCCATGTTCCCAGTCACCTTGCCATGGTTAAATGCAGTGGTTCGCACTTTCAGTTTTGTGCGGATGCTGCCATCTATCCACGGTTTTTGGTATGGATAACTTCTAATCGTCACAGTAGGAACAACATCCTCTATGCACTTCCTGATAAACTCAGTCACTGTGTACACACAGTGTATACATCGATACTATTCCCATTGTACATATTATAAAATTAAAAATAAGTATTACATTCACATAAAATCTACTGTTTAATATCAGTTATCTTACATGGGCTAGGTTTTTGAGCTCAGCGCACTCGTCCACAGACATGACATCATCCAGGAGAACCCTCTGAGTTCCGTTCAGGGCCTGTGAGTTCCTGGACCAGCTGCACACTGTCATACAACAGGGGGCCTCCTACAGAACACACACACCAGTACAGATGATTAGGAAACGTGTTAACCCCTCTTTGCCCCCCCCCCTAAAAAAGGAACTCATCCAGCTTTCAACTTACTCTTAACGGTTGTCATAGTAGAACACAAAAGGTGCAATTTCGAAATTGGGTAGTGCATCATCAGTTTTCAGGGGGGGGGGGGGGGGGGGGGGGGGGGGGGGGGGGGGGAGTGAAAAGGCTTGGGAACCCCTTCTCTATGGGAACCCCTTCTCTATGGGATACCTTAATCAGAGTACTGCTGTTGTTTACACATCTCTACATCCCATCCTATGGGCAACCCTTCATAGTTCACTTTTGCTTTCCACTTATCGACAAATGGTACAATTTTGAGGCATTACCTTTTTTGCTTATGTCTTTGTCAACTCTAATTTAATAATTCCAATACATTTGAGCAGTTGTGAAGAGAACAGAGGATGTCGTCGTACCTTCTCTAAGCTCCTGTGGTGGGGCCAGGGTGAAGTTCTTCTTCTCTGATATGGGTACGTACTCCATCCATCCATCAGTACCAGAAGGGATCCTGCAGGGGGAATGGAAAAACAGAGTATGGTCAGTACATATGGTTCATTTAAATAAGGCTGAGACCATCACTACAGCTGAAACACACCTTTCTTTGCCTCTCGTCATTTTGCCAAGGTCTTTTATATGGGAGTAACTACGAGACTAGTGAGATCATATAGGCTGCCATACTGGAAGTATCCAGTAGATGTCAGTGCTATCTTATACAACACAAAGTATTGCAGTTCAAAGTACCACATGTTGAAGTGGTCTATGTAAAACGCATCATCATATCTTTGTAAGCTACACAATTAATTTTTGTAATATTATACAGGCCTTTTCATATAACTATTGAACATTTCCAAGGGGATATTTCAGGGCTTGCTCACCTGTTAGAATCCTCTCTGCCACCTGTGCTGGTCCAGTAATGCTACAACATAAGGTAAAACACTGACAGATCAGAATATTTCCACAATATGGAAATGATGCAGATCCAGCACCAATGGTTATCCATCATGGCCACCAGGTGGTGCTGTGTACTGAGGGAGTAATGGTGGAACTACCAGGCACCTGTTACTGTACTACATACTGTATGAATCTCAGAGTGTCTCAGAGTAGGAGTGCTGATCTATGATCAGCCCTCCTCCATCCATTCTATCTTATTCATGTTGTAATCTAAAAAGTAAAACTGATCCTAAATCAGCGCTCCTACTCTGAGACGCTTCATACGTACAAGTTTTAGAGACAGCCCAAAGATTTCAAATAAGAGGCTACGTTGCCATTGGTCATCATTGTACTACTCACCCCCTCTGTAAGCTCCACGTGCATGTTCTCACTGCCGACCATTAGTAGCTCAAGCTCCTGCTTATGGCGCCTCAGGTACCACTCAGCCTTCTGGAGACAGAGACATTGGGCTGTAAAATCTCCGCAGGTGAAATTCATTTTGACTAGCTACTGAATCTCCCAGGAAGACCATGTGCCTAACCACTACACATCTGTAGTACTACACCACTGTACGTACGTACATCCCTACCCTAACACCTCTTCCTTTTCAGCAGCCAAGCATCCTACAGGCCTTACCCCAGTGAGGGGCACCATCCTCTCCTCTCCTCAGTGATGGACCCAATGGACTGTGCTATATTGCCCTCTCTCGTGGCATTTCACAGATTAGCTTTTTACTTGTTCTTCCTGGCAGGGCCGCAGCCTGCTAGGGAGAACTGGAACGCAGCCTGATGCCTCTTAAGCATGGACCAGAGCTGAAAAAAAAGGCTTGTCTTGGACTTCCATTATAGTAGTTGGGAGTAGGAGAGGAGAGGGGGAATGAGGGAAAGACGATCTGCAATAGACGAAAAGGAGCGACGCTATGTTTTGAAACCCGAGCAGCCAGTAGCGTTTGTGGTGGCCAGAAAAATCCTATTTTCACCCGTCATGCAAACAGCTCCTACATTGTTTCAGTGAGTTTATGTGGGCATTGGGACATGATTTCCCTGTTGCTGAAAGGTCTATTTGGCAGGACGGCAGACCACGGCTCTCTACTGCTCTATGCTGACTAAATGAGGTCCCCGAGTCCTCAGAGAGAGAGAGGGAGAGAAAGAGAGAGAGGGAAATAGAGACAGATAGAGAAATAGAGAGAGGGAGGGAGGGAGGGAGAGAGAGAGAGAGAGAGCGGGAGAGAGAGTGAGTGAGAGGGAGGGAGAGTGAAACGAGAGAAAGAGAGCGGGAGAGAGAGAGGGGGAAGGAGGGAGAGAGTGAGACGAGTAAGAGAGAGAAGAAGGGGGGAGAGGGAGGGAGAGATGAGAGAAAAAGAGGGAGAGAAGGAGATCGAGACAGAGAGAGGGTGAGAGCAGGAGAGCGAGAGAGAGAAAGACAGAGACAGACAGAGAGAGAGACAGAGAGAGAAGAGCAAGAGAGACAGAGAGGAGAGGGAGAGACGACAGAGAGAGAGAAGAGAGAGAGAGAGAGAGACGAAGAGAGAGAAGAGCGAGAGAGGAGAGAGAGGAGAGAGAGAGAGAAGAGGAGAGAGAGAGATAGAGAGATGAGAAAGAGGAGAGAGAGAGAAGAGAGAGGAGAGAGAGATGACAGAGAGAGAACGAGGACAGAGAGGACGAGAGGACAGAGAGACAGAGAGAGAGAGAGAGACAGAGAGAGAGGGGTGAAGCAGGAGAAGCGAAGGAGAGAAGAAGACAGAGACAAGAGACAGAGAACAGGGAGACAGAGAGACAGAGAGAGACAGGTAGAGAGAGAGAGAGGGTGAGAGCAGGAGAGCGAGAGAGAGAAAGACAGAGACAGACAGACAGGGAGACAGAGAGACAGAGAGAGACAGGGAGAGAGAGAGAGAGGGTGAGAGCAGGAGAGCGAGAGGGAGAAAGACAGAGACAGAGAGAGATAGAGAGAGACAGCGGAGAGCGAGAGCGAGAGAGGAGAGAGAGACGGAGAGAGAGAGATGGAGAGAGATGGAGAGAGAGAGATGGAGAGAGAGAGAGGGGGGAAGGAGGGAGAGAGAGAGACAGAGAAGGAGAGAGAGAAGGAGAGAGAGAGAGAAGGAGAGAGAGGAGGAGAGAGAGAGGAGAGAGAGATAGCGAGAGAGAGATAACGAGAGAGAGCGGGAGAGGGAGAGAGCGAGAGAAAGAGATGTACAACGTAAAACACCAAATAATGCATGCAGAGCAGAATTATCAAAATCCAGAAAAGAGCCGTTAAATTCTACAACCACCTAAAAGGAAGCCATTCCCAAACCTTCCATAACAAAGCCATCAGCTACAGAGAGATGAACCTGGAGAAGAGTCCCCTAAACAAGCTGGTCCTTGGGCTCTGTTCACAAACACAAACAGACCCCACAGAGCCCCAGGACAGCAACACAATTAGATCCAACCAAATCATGAGAAACAAAAAGAGAATTACTTGACACATTGGATAGAATTATTTTTAAAAACAGAGCAAACTAGAATGCTATTTGGCCTTAAATAGAGAGTACACAGTGGCAGAATACCTGACCACTGTGACTGACCCAAACGTAAGGAAAGCTTTGACTATGTAGACTCAGTGAGCATAGCCTTGCTATTGAGAAAGGCCGCCGTAGGCAGACCTGGCTCTCAAGAGATGACAGGCTATGTACACACTGCCCACAAAATGAGGTGGAAACTGAGCTCCACTTCCTAACCTCCTGCCAAATGTATGACCATATTAGAGAGACATATTTCCCTCAGATTCCACAGAGAATTCGAAAACAAATGAAATTTTGATAAACTCCCATATCTTTTGGGTGAAATACCACAGTGTGCCATCACAGCAGCAAGATTTATGACCTGTTGCCACAAGAAAAGGGCAACCAGTGAAGAACAAACACCATTGTAAATAAAACCAATATTTATGTTGATTTATTTTCCCTTTTTTATTTTAACTATTTGCACATCGTTACAACACTGTATATATATATATATATATATAATATTACATTTTTTTATTGTTTATTTCACTTTTGTTAATTATCTATTTCACTTGCTTTGGCAATGTAAACATATGTTTCCCATGCCAATAGAGCACTTAAATTGAAATTGAAATTGAATTGAGAGGGAGAGAGCGGGAGCGGGAGAGAGCGAGAGAGAAAGAGAAAGAGAGAGAGCGGGAGAGAGAGAGAGAGAGAGAGATGGAGAGAGACAGAGCGAGAGAAAGAGACAGAGAGAGAGAGCGCGAGAGAGAGAGAGAGAGAGAGACAGAGAGAGAGACAGAGAGAGAGAGAGAGAGATGGAGAGAGAGAATGGAGAGAGAGAGGGGGGAAGGAGGGAGAGAGAGAGAGACAGAGAAGGAGAGAGAGAAGGAGAGAGAGGAGGAGAGAGAGAGAGGAGAGAGAGATAGCGAGAGAGAGATAACGAGAGAGAGCGGGAGAGGGAGAGAGCGAGAGAAAGAGACGTACAACGAATAGGGTGCCATTTTGGACGAGCCAAGGTCTTACCACCCGGGGTTTGACGTCGTGACCTATAGCATCTCTATAGTACTCCACGTTCTCTGTCATAAACTCCTCCCCCTCGTGGAACAGCAGGTAGGACTGGGCACACGCCAACGCCTCCTCCACCATGTTCACTGGAGACACACAGAGAGAAAGAAGACGTTATGAAATGGACAGTAGTGTTTTGTTCTATTGTATTGTTTGGCAACGTTGTGATGTTCTTGTGTCGATAAAGCTTGTTTGAATTGAAAACAGTATTGAATATTGAAATTGACTGGAGAGACAGTGAGAGAAAGTGCATATTATCAGGTAGACATTGATATTGCTGTGTTGTGTTGCTTTGGCGACATTGGCTTTTTCCTACTGTGCCAATAAAGCTGGGAATTGAAAATGGAATTGAAAGAAGGGGTTAGAGAGTGAGAGAAAAAGAGAGCGAGATGAACAAAGAGAGAGAGAAAGAGAAAGAGAGAGAAATTATAAATATAATTAGGTGTCCCTGTCTGAACAAGATTACCTGTCATCACACCTCAGTCACCCTCCCTGAACTACCCTGTAAGACTGCGCACTATTCACAGTTTTGCTACTTTACACTTATTCTGCACTGTTGAGGAAGAGTTTTCCACTCATACAGGTCAGCACAGACAGATCCACATGTTAATAAAGCCCCCTAGGTCTGGATGAGTTGTGTGTCTGGAGCTTTTGGAAGTCTAGCGCGACTGAACATTCCAGGACCATGAGCACACTGGAGCAAGCAGCAGCAGCAGCACTAGAGCAGTGAGGCAGTCAGAGGCTGGGTGAGATAGTGGAAACACAGACACATTGCTGCTCCAGGGGACAACTGGGACTGGGGAGGATGGCTGGTCGGACTGACTGGGACTGGGGAGGATGGCTGGTCGGACTGACTGGGACTGGGGAGGATGGCTGGTCGGACTGACTGGGACTGGGGAGGATGGCTGGTCGGACTGACTGGGACTGGGGAGGATGGCTGGTCGGACTGACTGGGACTGGGGAGGATGGCTGGTCGGACTGACTGGGACTGGGGAGGATGGCTGGTCGGACTGACTGGGACTGGGGAGGATGGCTGGTCGGACTGACTGGGACTGTGGAGGGGTCGTACTCTGGACTGGGAGGATGGCTGGTCGGACTGACTGGGACTGTGGAGGATGGCTGGTCGGACTGACTGGGACTGGGGAGGATGGCTGGTCGGACTGACTGGGACTGGGGAGGATGGCTGGTCGGACTGACGGGGTGTGAGGAGGATGTGCAGTATATCTCCTGTCTCTAAAGGTCTTACAGCGAGTAGTGACATGCTGCGCACGCACACACACACACTGTACACCCCCCACCCACACCCACACACACACCCCGACACGTGCGCTTTACTAGCTTGTAAAGCAGCGTGGCTCTCAAACCATTTCTTGGAGGGGCAGAGGCAGCGAGTGTTTCTGTGGTCAGCACGTCTCCTCAGGTTCCCCTGGTTCCCAGGTCGTAAACAGTTAGGGGCTTTCAGGCCATAAAAACAACAATGTCACCACACGGATCATTGAGGAAACAGCTTCCCGCAGAGCAATGAGAGGCTGCTGAGTGAGGGGGAGACTTGACATTTAACATGCGATTAGAGACTTGATGAATGACTGCACATTCTCTCCCCCTCTCTCTCTCTCAATTTCCATTTTATCAATTTCAAAATGTTTATTGGCATGACATAAAACATTTATTTGTATTGCAACAATAGACAAGAAAATACATTTTGGAACATTTAAGACTATCTTTCTTGCTCTTTTTTCTCAATCTGGTTCTCTCTCTCTTTACCTCTCTCTCCCATTTAAAAGTTGGACATATACTTTAAACTTAAACCCCATACGATCGCAAAGGGTCACAAGGCCTGACGGAAAAGCTATCCCTTACCTCGAAAGTCCAGACTGCTACAAGACTCAGCATTGACATACAAATGTGTCCCAAATGGTACTATGTTCCTTATATACGGTAGTGCACTACTATCAAAAAAGTCTAAAGTAGGTCAAAAGTAGTGCACTATATAGGGAATAGGGTGCATAAGGATAGGTAACAACACATCTGCCACGCTGATCCTCAACACGGGGGCCCCTCAGGGGTGCGTGCTCAGTCCCCTCCTCTACTCCCTGTTCACCCATGACTGCATGGCCAGTCACGACTCCAACACCATCATTAAGTTTGCCGACGACACAACAGTGGTAGGCCTGATCACCGACAACGATGAGACAGCCTATAGGGAGGAGGTCAGAGACCTGGCCGTGTGGTGCCAGGATAACAACCTCTCCCTCAACGTGATCAAGACAAAGGAGATGATTGTGGACTATAGGAAAAGACAGACCGAGCACACCCCCATTCTCATCGACGGGGATGTAGTGAAGCAGGTTGAGAACTTCAAGTTCCTAGGTATCCACATCACCAACAAACTATCATGGTCTAAACACACCAAGACAGTCATGAAGAGGGCACGACAAAGCCTATTCCCCCTCAGGAGACTGAAAAGATTTGGCATGGGTCCTCAGATCCTCAAAAAGTTATACAGCTGCACCATCGAGAGCATCCTGACTGGTTGCAATACCGCCTGGTATGGCAACTGCTCGGCCTCCGACCATAAGGCACTACAGAGGGTAGTGCGTACGGCCCAGTACATCACTGGGTGCCAAGCTTCCTGCCATCCAGGACCTCTATACCAGGCGGTGTCAGAGGAAGGCCCTAAAAATTGTCAAAGAGTCCAGCCACCCTAGTCATAGACTGTTCTCTCTGCTACCGCACTTCAAGCGGTACCGGAGCGCCAAGTCTAGGTCCAAAAGGCTTTTTAACAGCTTCTACCCCCAAACCATAAACTCCTGAACAGCTAATCAAATGGCTACCCGGACTTTTTCGCTGCTGCTACTCTCTGTTTATTATCTATGCATAGTCACTTTAACTCTACCCACATGTACATATTACCTCAATTACCTCGACTAACCTGTGCCCCGCACATTGACTCTGTCCCGGTACCCCCTGTATATAACATCGCTACTGTTATTTTACTGCTGCTCTTTAATTATTTGTTATTTTCAAATTTTTTGTAATTTAATCATCTTTTTTTCCATTTTTTTCCCCCACATGTGACAAATAACATTTGATTTGATTGAATTTGATTTGAGATGAAGACACAGTAAGTGCAGCTGCTGTGAATGATTCAATGAGCTCTTTGTTTTTCCTAGAATCCCATGATCCACTTGGTTTATTAGACATATGGTGCAGGGGAATTAGACATGATCTGATGACCTCATAAGTATTCATCACATCATCTTTTCCCTCCTCTCCCCATGCTGTACTGTCCTGACAACCCATCTCTCTAACGTCTGATCTCCATGCTGTACTGTCCTGACAACCCATCTCTCTAACGTCTGATCTCCATGCTGTGTTGTCCTGACAACCCATCTCTCTAACGTCTGATCTCCATGCTGTGATGTCCTGACAACCCATCTCTCTAACGTCTGATCTCCATGCTGTGCTGTCCTGACAACCCATCTCTATAACGTCTGATCTCCATGCTGTGTTGTCCTGACAACCCATCTCTCTAACGTCTGATCTCCATGCTGTGTTGTCCTGACAACCCATCTCTCTAACGTCTGATCTCCATGCTGTGCTGTCCTGACAACCCATCTCTCTAACGTCTGATCTCCATGGTGTGTTGTCCTGACAACCCATCTCTCTAACATCTGATCTCCATGCTGTGTTGTCCTGCCAACCCATCTCTATAACGTCTGATCCCCATGCTGTGCTGTTCTGCCAACCCATCTCTCTAACGTCTGATCTCTATGCTGTGCTGTCCTCCCCATGATGTCCTGTCCTGCCAACCCATCTCTAACATCTGATCTCCATGCTGCACTGTCGTCTCCATGCTGTACTGTCCTGCCAACCAATTTCTCTAACATCTGATCTCCATGCTGTGTTGTCCTGCCAACCCATCTCTCTAACATCTGATCTCCATGCTGTGTTGACCTGCCAACCCATCTCTCTAACATCTGATCTCCATGGTGTCCTGTCCTGCCAACCCGTCTCTCTCTCCCTCTAACGTCTGATCCCCAATCAGCCCAGACTACACAGACTGTCTCAAATGGCCCCCTATTCCCTATTCAGGCCCCCTATTTCCCCTGGTCAAAAGTAGTGCACTATATAGGGAATAGGGTGTCATTTGAGATGAAGACAAAGGCTGGCGGCCTTTTATAATATAATGTATGCCATTTAGCAGACGTTTTTATCGAAAGCGACTTACAGTTTTACATATGGACACCAGATAATGGATAAATGTTTCTGAATGAGTTTGAGGTGAACAGCGTGTGCTTCCCTATTGAGGTGTGGTCCTGGTCTGTTGGGTGCTGATTGTGTAGGCCTGTATTCACAAAGCGTCCCAGACTAGGGAGCGCTGTCCATTCATTACAATCTAAAAGGCAAAACTGATCGTAGATCAGCACTCTTACTCTGAGAAGCTTTATGAATACAGTTCCTAGTCTTTCTCCACAGCTCTTTATAACTTCCTGTCTTTGAGGGCTTTTTCAAATGTCTGTGACCGGGCGTTTCCCAGCTCTCTGTGTGAGTCAGCAGGTGAATACTTATCTAATTAAAGATAATTTGATATGGGTGTGTTAGTCAATCAGCAAAAGCCTGCCATCCCTGTAGTCTGAACACCACACCCTGTCTGCAAGCAGGGTCAAGTAAGGTGCAGTAAGGTATACTCATGCTGGAAGTAGGCCAACCTCAGGTAATCGTAGTAATGTATGTCCCAAATGACACTCTAGTTCCTATATAGCGCACTACTTTTGACCAGGGTCCAAAGGGTGCCATTTGGGACGCAGCCATAGTTAGAGGTAATGTAAGGTAGAGTAAGGTGCACTAAGGTAACGTTACTCACTCAGGAAGTAGGCGAATTACAGGTAGTCATAGTGTAGAGCAGTCCTTCTCAAATAGTGGGGCGCGCCCCCCCTGGTGGGGCTCGGAGCAATGCCAGGGGGGGTGCGTGTGACCCTGTGGAACGTGCTTTTTTCCCCCCAGGGAGTATGGTTTTTTTGCACCGAACAAGAGCACACAGCACAGAGCAGGAGATATGAAGTGCAGATAACAAACCCTTAAGAGACACCATGGAAAAATATTTAACAGGGATGAAAAGAAAGGCGGAGAGAGACGGAGATAATGAGACAAACGTAAGTCTCCCGAAAGCTAAGACGAGGAAATATGACGAAGCGTATGTAGCGCTTGGCTTCACTGTGACTACGGTGGGAGACGAGGAAAGACCGGTATGTTAACTGTGTCTAAAAATGTTGGCAGCGGACAGCATGAAGCCAAATAAATTAAGGCGTCACTTAAAGACATTACACCCCAATCACGCTGATAAGCCGCTTGAGTTTTTTCAGCGAAAACGTGCCGAATATTGCCAACAATCGTCCCGCTTTGTGAATGCTACTTCAGTAAACCAGCGAGCACTGTTAGCATCATATAAGGTGGCGTACCAAATTGCTCAGTGCAAAAAACCCCACTCCATAGCAGAGGAGCTGATACTGCCCTGACTAAGAATGGGCTAAAGTGGGAGAACTGCATTGGTGTTTGCAGTGATGGTGCACAGACCATGGCAGGGATGAGAAAAGGACTTCGGGCACTCATCAAGAAGGCCTCACCTAATGCTGAGTGGACACACTGTGTTATACACAGAGAAGCACTGGCTTCAAGGCACCTTTCCTCTGAATTAAGTGAGGTTATGACTGACATTGTAGGTGTAGTCAATTTTATAAAGACCAGACCACTAAAAACAAGAGTCTTCTCTGCTATCTGTGAGGAGATGGGAGCTGAACATCAAGCTGTGCTGTTTCACAGTGAAGCAAGGTGGCTGTCACGAGGAAAAGTCTTGTCCCGAGTTTTTGAGCTCAGAGAGCAGATAAGAATGTTTTCGGAGCAGGAGCACAAGTATGACCTCGCAGAAAAATTTAGTGATGAGAACTTCCTGGCAAAACTGGCCTACCTGAGTGACATATTTGGAAAGCTAAATGAACTAAATCTACAGCTTCAAGGGAAAGATAAACACCTCCCTCAGGTCACAGACAAGGTCAGCTCTTTCACTCGAAAGCTTGCAATGTGGGGCAGGCGACTTGATGAAGGACATACTGATTCATTCGAGAACCTGCATGAATTTGTTGACACTACTGTTAGAAATTGCGTAATTCAAATCTGGTATTGGAATAAGAGAAAACATAATCAAGAGATATTCAATCCAAGCTAAATTTATTATATGCAAAATGTATGTATGATAAGTATGTTGGTTTGTATACGGGCTCACTGAAATACCACGCAGGGCAGACAGAGAACTAAACCATTGTTTACAGGTTCTTTCTCAAATACTCTGACAGAGAGTTCCCACCTCTTCTGTTGGCCAATCAGAGTAAAGGACTGAGTGTGGTTTAGACTTTACTCAGCCAATCCGTTGGCGCACGGGTTAGTCCCAATCCCTTGGCGCTCCACCGTTCCCAGGCATAAGTTGCTATCATAATAACCTGTAGAGTCAGCACCCAAAAGACACCCTTCCAATCTGTACTCTATGTACCTACGTTCAAGGACGGTTTCACAGACAACAAAGAGAGAGTGTTCGTATCTGTAAGAAATACAAGTCTTATCTGTCCTACCCCCTAACGTTCCTTACATGAATCACAGCCTGTTATGTGAAACAATTTATATCAGTATAGTACAAACCTATGCTTATCATTAATGCATTCCTTCTAAGTTATTCATCACATACAGATCCAATTATGAGAAAAATAGAACCCAACACTACTGACTATGATGCCACCTCAGTGATTCCATATATTAAGGAGCATATTTCATCACTGATGGGATTCTTTAAAAAGTACTTCCCTGAAAACAGTTCCCAATATGACTGGGTGAGAGATCCTTTCAATGCACCAGCTCCAACTGGTTTCAGCTCTGCAGAGGAGGACCAGTTCATTGATATGACGTCTGACTCCACATTGAGACTGAGGTTCACATCACAGACACTGAGTGAATTCTGGCTGAGTGTAGAGAGGCAGTATCCACTCTTAGGGCAGAGGGCCATGGGCATTCTTCTTCCTTTTGCAACATCTTATCTTTGTGAGACTGGCTTCTCTGCTGTTGCTGCACTGAAGACCAAGTACAGGTCCCAGCTAAACATTGAGCAGGAGCTGAGAGTTGCAGTATCATGCTTCAAACCCCGCTTCGAAAAGCTGTGCACTGCAAAACGTGCTCATTGTAGCCATTAATCCTGACTTCCTCATTTTGATTTTTAAAAAATCAGCACAAATTGTTTTATTCATTTTTGTTTTATAGGTCAAAGTGTTTCATATATTGTGCTCCTGAGTTAATGTTGCTGATCAATTTGAATTTATTATTATTTATTGATTATATTTAATTTAATTTTTCAGTATCAAATGGTCAAAAAATGTTTACAGTTTAAATAAGGTTTGAATTATTTTTTAATTTCAGGCAAATTGATGCACTTTAAGTATTTTCTGTTACAGACTAAAAAACAATGTTAATAAAGTTATTCTTTGTTGTAAGTTGATCTATATTTAATGTTAATAAGGATACAATGTTATGCAGAGGTGTACTTATAACAATTTTATAGACAAATGATACTATTTACAGTCGCAGCGGAGAGTTGGGGGGCGCGAAATGTTTACTTCTTCCTAGGGGGGGCGTAACAGAAAATAATTGAGAAGCACTGGTGTAGAGGTAGAGTAAGGTGCAGTAGGGTTGAGTAAAGTTCAGTATGGTGAAGTAAGGTAATGTTACTCACGCTGGAAGTAGGCGAATTACAGGTAGTCATAGTGTAGAGGTAGAGTAAGGTGCAGTAGGGTTGAGTAAAGTTCAGTATGGTGCAGTAAGGTAATGTTACTCACACTGGAAGTAGGCAAACTGCAGGTAGTCGTAGTGTAGAGGCAGGTAGTTCTCCATGGGAGACAGACGGCCGGGCCGGGTAGACAGGTCTCTCACACACTCGTGTTCACAGTGCAGCACCTGGGTGAAGTGATCTGAAACACACACAGGAGGGTGAAGGGGGATACAGGTCAATTCATTCATTCATTATCCAATTAAAGCACATTAATACCTTCCTAAGGAAAAGCATAGAGTTGTATGATAATGATGATGAATAATAAATCATTCTAGAAGGTCAGTCCAACAATGGGTTCTATCAGAGATCAATCTAGAAGGTCAGTCCAACACTGGGTTCTATCAGAGATCATTCTAGACAGGTCAGTCCAACACTGGGTTCTATCAGAGATCATTCTAGAAGGTCAGTCCAACACTGGGTTCTATCAGAGATCATTCTAGAAGGTCAGTCCAACAATGGGTTCTATCAGAGATCATTCTAGAAGGTCAGTCCAACAATGGGTTCTATCAGAGATCCTTCTAGACTGGTCAGTCCAACACTGGGTTCTATCAGAGATCATTCTAGAAGGTCAGTCCAACACTGGGTTCTATCAGAGATCATTCTAGAAGGTCAGTCCAACACTGGGTTCTATCAGAGATCATTCTAGAAGGTCAGTCCAACACTGGGTTCTATCAGAGATCATTCTAGAAGGTCAGTCCAACACTGGGTTCTATCAGAGATCATTCTAGAAGGTCAGTCCAACAATGGGTTCTATCAGAGATCATTCTAGAAGGTCAGTCCAACACTGGGTTCTATCAGAGATCCTTCTAGACAGGTCAGTCCAACACTGGGTTCTATCAGAGATCATTCTAGAAGGTCAGTCCAACACTGGGTTCTATCAGAGATCATTCTAGAAGGTCAGTCCAACACTGGGTTCTATCAAAGATCATTCTAGAAGGTCAGTCCAACACTGGGTTCTATCAGAGATCATTCTAGAAGGTCAGTCCAACACTGGGTTCTATCAGAGATCATTCTAGAAGGTCAGTCCAACAATGGGTTCTATCAGAGATCCTTCTAGACAGGTCAGTCCAACACTGGGTTCTATCAGAGATCATTCTAGAAAGTCAGTCCAACAATGGGTTCTATCAGAGATCATTCTAGAAGGTCAGTCCAACACTGGGTTCTATCAAAGATCATTCTAGAAGGTCAGTCCAACACTGGGTTCTATCAGAGATCATTCTAGAAGGTCAGTCCAACACTGGGTTCTATCAGAGATCATTCTAGAAGGTCAGTCCAACAATGGGTTCTATCAGAGATCCTTCTAGACAGGTCAGTCCAACACTGGGTTCTATCAGAGATCATTCTAGAAAGTCAGTCCAACAATGGGTTCTATCAGAGATCATTCTAGAAGGTCAGTCCAACAATGGGTTCTATCAGAGATCCTTCTAGACAGGTCAGTCCAACACTGGGTTCTATCAGAGATCCTTCTAGACAGGTCAGTCCAACACTGGGTTCTATCAGAGATCATTCTAGAGAGGTCAGTCCAACACTGGGATCTATCAGAGATCATTCTAGACAGGTCAGTCCACCACTGGGATCTATCAGAGATCATTCTAGACAGGTCAGTCCACCACTGGGTTCTATCAAGATTATTCTAGACAGGTCAGTCCAACACTGGGTTCTATCAGAGATCATTCTAGACAGGTCAGTCCAATACTGGGTTCTATCAGCGATCATTCTAGACAGGTCAGTCCAACACTGGGTTCTATCAGAGATCATTCTAAACAGGTCAGTCAAACATTGGGTTCTACCAGAGATCCAGTGGCTACCAGAGCCAATTAAAGAGTATTTTCTTTACAATTAGACGTAAGTGTACTACAGTTAGCCTGGTCACTGAGACGCTGAGGTGTACTACCGTTAGCCTGGTCACTGAGACGCTGAGGTGTACTACAATTAGCCTGGTCACTGAGACGCTGAGGTGTACTACAGTTAACCTGGTCACTGAGACGCTGAGGTATACTACAGTTAGCCTGGTCACTGAGACGCTGAGGTGTACTACCGTTAGCCTGGTCACTGAGACGCTGAGGTTTACTACAGTTAGCCTGGTCACTGAGACGCTGAGGTGTACTACAATTAGCCTGGTCACTGAGACGCTGAGGTGTACTACAATTAGCCTGGTCACTGAGACGCTGAGGTATACTACAGTTAGCCTGGTCACTGAGACGCTGAGGTGTACTACAGTTAGCCTGGTCACTGAGATGCTGAGGTGTACTACCGTTAGCCTGGTCACTGAGATGCTGAGGTGTACTACAGTTAGCCTGGTCACTGAGACGCTGAGGTGTACTACAGTTAGCCTGGTCACTGAGACGCTGAGGTGTACTACAGTTAGCCTGGTCACTGAGACGCTGAGGTATACTACAGTTAGCCTGGTCACTGAGACGCTGAGGTGTACTACAGTTAGCCTGGTCACTGAGATGCTGAGGTGTACTACCGTTAGCCTGGTCACTGAGACGCTGAGGTGTACTACAGTTAGCCTGGTCACTGAGACGCTGAGGTATACTACAGTTATCCTAGTCACTGAGATGCTGAGGTGTACTACCGTTAGCCTGGTCACTGAGACGGTGAGGTGTACTACCGTTAGCCTGGTCACTGAGACGCTGAGGTGTACTACTGTTAGCCTGGTCACTGAGACGCTGAGGTGTACTACAGTTAGCCTGGTCACTGAGACACTGAGGTATACTACAGTTAGCCTGGTCACTGAGACACTGAAGTATACTACAGTTAGCCTGGTCACTGAGACGCTGAGACGCTGAGGTATACTACAGTTAGCCTGGTCACTGAGACGCTGAGGTGTACTACAGTTAGCCTGGTCACTGAGACGCTGAGGTATACTACAGTTAGCCTGGTCACTGAGATGCTGAGGTGTACTACCGTTAGCCTGGTCACTGAGACGCTGAGGTGTACTACAATTAGCCTGGTCACTGAGACGCTGAGGTGTACTACAGTTAGCCTGGTCACTGAGATGCTGAGGTATACTACAGTTAGCCTGGTCACTGAGATGCTGAGGTATACTACAGTTAGCCTAATGTTACCCCCTGTTTTAGATGATGGAGGATAAGGGTTGAAACTAATTGGTTTTATTTTTAACAATAAAGAACCACTATTATCAACTTCCACTGTCCTCCAAGAGTTGTTAAAGTGTGGTAGAGGGGAAACTGAGGTGTATGAAATGAAATATGTTCCCTGTGGTCACACTAAAGAACCCAGTCCCTGAGATGACATCACCAAAATGATCTAATCGGAGGTGTGTGTGTGTCTGTGCGTATGTACACTGAGTGCACAAAACGTTAGGAACACCTTCCTAATATTGAGTTGCACCCCTTTTGCCCTCAGAAAAGCCTCAATTCGTTAGGGCATGGACTCTACAAGGCGTTGAAAGTGTTAATCTGGGATGCTGGCCCATGTTGTCTCCAATGCTTCCCAGAGTTGTGTCAAGTTGGCTGGATGTACTTTGGGTGGTGGACCATTCTTGATAAACACAGGAGACTGTTGAGCGTGAAAAACCCAGCAGCGTTGCAGTTCTTGACACAAACCTGTCCACCTGGCACCTACTACCATACCCTGTTCAAAGGCACTTCAATATTTTGTCTTTCCCATTCATTCTCTGAATGGTACACATACACAATCCATGTCTCAATTGTCTCAAGGATTAAAAATCATTCTTTAACCTGTTTCCTCCCATTAATCTACACTGATTGAAGTGGATTTAACAAGTGACATCAATAAGGGATCATAGCTTTCACCTGGATTCACCTGGTCAGTCTCTGTCATGGAAAGAGCAGGTGTTCATAATGTTTTGTACACTCAGTGTATGTATAAATTATCATCTTCCTTTCTCTGTGACAAACAAAAAAGAAAGAGGTGGGATTCAGGTTACCCAATGCCCCATGACCACCAATGACATGCTCCTGTGAGTCAAGCTCTGTGAAATCACAGGTCAGATGTCAGGGCAGTCCACACAACCTGATACTCCTGTAGCTCTAGAACTAGAGAGAGAAACACAACAATAAACGCCTCTTCTCTTGTTGATGGTCTCTTCTCTTGTTGATGGTCTCTTCTCTCGTTGATGGTCTTTGTATTGGTTAATATGACCATGTTTGTATTTGTTGCCCTCACACATTGATGGAGAAAAAAGCCTGAGGTTATCAGTAAATCATATTTCCATTCTTTAGGAGAGGCAGTAATGTTGATTTCATGATGCTGTGGTGTAACGTTACGGTATCGTTCACTGATGTCATGCTGGAGGGGCTGGAGGCAGGAGTTCAGTCAGTGGAGGGGACAGGAGCCAGTTGGATAGTGGCGATAGTGGTGGTAGCGGTGATAGTGGTGGTGGTGGTGATGGTGATTATAGTGGTGGTAGTGGTGATGGTGGTGGTGATAGTGATAGTGGTGATGATGGTGGTGATAGTGGTGGTGATAGTGATAGTGGTGATGATGGTGGTGATAGTGGTGATGATGGTGGTGATAGTGGTGGTGATAGTGATAGTGGTGATAATGGTGGTGATAGTGATAGTGGTGATAGTGGTGATGATGGTGGTGATAGTGGTGGTGATAGTGATAGTGGTGATGATGGTGGTGATAGTGTTAGTGGTGGTAGTGGTGGTGATAGTGGTAGTGGTGGTGATGGTGGTGGTGATAGTGGTGGTGATAGTGATAGTGGTGGTAGTGGTGATGATGGTGGTGATGATGGTGGTGATGGTGGTGATGGTGGTGATGATGGTGGTGGTAGTGGTGATGATGGTGGTGGTGATAGTGATAGTGGTGGTAGTGGTGATGATGGTGGTGATAGTGGTGGTGATAGTGGTAGTGGTGATGATGGTGGTGATAGTGATAGTGGTGGTAGCGGTGATAGTGGTAGTAGTGATGATAGTGGTGGTGATAGTGGTGGTGATGGTGGTGGTGATAGTGATAGTATTGATAGTGGTGATGGTGGTGGTGATAGTGATGGTGATAGTGATGATAGTGATAGTGGTGATAGTGGTGGTGATAGTGATGATAGTACTGTATTATGGAGCCAAGATCAATGATATAAAGGATGATGGAAAAAAAACGTTGAAGTTCTTTAAATGAAATGATGGCAGAAAGACACATTCAACTCCTCCTTTCATCGAATCAGATGGCTTATTCATCACAAAACCATTTGATGTTG